AAGGTTTGCAGGCGATAAGCGATGGGGCTGCGGCCGCGCCGCGCCGCCCGCGCGTGATTTACTGCGGCGTCGCTAACGGAGCGCAGATTTTTCTTAATCTAAATTGAAAACTACTCAAGTAGAAAAATAATTTCATTGCTTCATCCTGAAGGGGAGGGGGAGAGGGAGGGGAAGAGCTTTGCCAGGGCAGGCAGGGCCACAGCTGCCTGCACCCCCTGCGCCACCATTCCCATGGCCTTGGGCAGCTCCTGCACTGGGGACATGCGGCAGCTGCTCCAGCTCGGGCAGAAAAACTGGGTTGTGTGGGGAGGGGGCAGCTGCCAGGACTTAGCTCTGGGGTGTCAGGGCACACCCAGTCCCCGCTGGGATGCAGCCCCCCAGTGCAGGTTGATGCTGGCACAGGTGGGGATGTGCAGCCTCACAGATAGATTGGTAATTTGGAGCACGAGTGAATTCTGGGAGCATTTGCTGAGCTGGATAATAACGTGCCCACTGAGCTGCATCCCATGCATGCTGCCAAATTAAAGAAATTTTTTTCTCCTTTAATTTAAAAGTCACCGTTGGGAAATCTCCACTGGCCGCAGCAGTGATTTCCCCTAGGCTGCCTTTCTGGAGAAATCTTTAATTTTGATTGTCACACTTTGTGGAGTTTATCTCAGGAAAGTAGAGCCATAAATAAGGTACTGCTTCAGCACCCAGGCTCCAACTGTACCAGGACAGTGAGTGGCATTGCCACAGGTGGGGAGCAGGGACTGCCTGACCACAAGCACCCCTTGCACCTTCCTCTTCCCTTCCCCCTCCAGTCCCATCTACCCTCAGCACAGTGCCTTGCTTCTCACAGCCTGATTTCACAGGTCAGCAACCTTTAATTACCCGGGCCTGTCCCCACCCCTCCCACCAAATGATTCGCAGGTTCATGAAAATCTCATTAACCATAATACCACAGCTGGGTTCCCGTGCTGGCACTGGAGAACTCCAGCTCCTGCCGTGCTGTGGGCTCAGCCAGTGCTGTGCCCTGGCATCCAGCACATCACGGGACCCCAGGACCAAGCACACAGGGTTCCTGGCCAGGAGCTGTGCCAGGCTCTTGGGGTGGGAAGGTGGCAGGGCACAGGCTGTGTTTTGCTCCGTGCTTACACCTTCACAGCCCCAGCTCAGCTGGTCACGGTGCTGTGGGGCTGGAATGGGTGTCATGGTCAGACTGGGGAGGTGGAAGCTCCCAGGGCTTCCCCAGCACCTCCAGGGAACCAGCAGACAACCGTGATAAGGAGCCTGTCCTCTCCCTCCTGGGGCCTAGGGAGGACATCTCCCAGCAGCTTTTGAGCAATTAAGAAGCAGGAAGGGATTCAGGCAGCTCCCTTCGGCACGGAGCCGGCACAGCAGTGCCGGGTGAGCTCAGGAAAGGTTACACCATTTGCATTTTACCCTTCAGTAATTCCAACACTTACGGGTGCAATTAAGCGGCAGCCTGGTGTTATGAAGCTATCAGGGCGGAGAGACCTGAATCCCAACGAACTCCGTGTGCGTGCCGGTCCCAGGCTGTCCCATCTGTCTGCGGTGACACTGCCACGGTGCCAGCGGGTCGCAGGGACGGCTGTGATTCCGATGCCCATTGTTCCCTTGCTGGCGGCTCAGCCCTGTTCAGGCACCCAGGTTTGATACTCTGGGAGGGCGAGCACAGGGAGACAGGGACGGCTGTGATTCCATCTGATGCCCATTGTTCCCTTGCTGGCGGCTCAGCCCTGTTCAGGCACCCAGGTTTGATACTCTGGGAGGGCGAGCACAGGGAGGGGAGTGAGTGTTGGGATGGTGGAGCAGGTCCAGGCTTGTGCCAAACTCGTAATTACAGCAAAGCACCTGATCTGCTGGTGCCCTCCAAAGAACAGCCCCTGGCCTGCTTTGCTTTGTGTGTGACCTCCTGATGGGCAGAGCTGGATGGACCATGATGCCTGTCCCAGTGCCAGTGGCACATCTCCACCATGGAACAGGGTCTCCTCAATGTCTGGTGGCCCCTACCCTCTGTGGGAGGACAGGGGCTCTGTGGCCATTCTCCTTCCCTGCTTCAGTGGGACAGCAGGCTGGGAGAACTGCTGCCTTTCCCTTTAAGCATCATCCCAGCTTAATTCGATGGTTTTGAGTCCCGGCTCATGATTTCTGCAGCAATTTGGGCTGAGATTTCTCTCTTTCCCTCCATTATCCACTCTGATTAACTCAGCTGGCCCTGTCAGCTCCCATTCCGGCGCGGGAGCCCTGTGAGAGCCTGTTAAAATGCATGAGCCTGTGGCCGCCGCTCCGCTGCCCAGCCAGGCTGAACCGAGGCAGGGGGCTGCAGGCAGCAGGGCCGTGGTGGGGACCTGGGGGCTGTGGGGGTCCAGGGATGGGGGGCAGGTGCTGTGGGGGTGCCAGTGTCCCCCTCTGTCAGCATGGGGGTGTCCTGGCTGGAGCTGAGCTGGGGGGGACCCTCTGGGGTGCAGGACACAGTCACCCTCACATGCCAGGCTGTCGGGTGGCTGAATCTTCCCCCACGCAAAGGCTCGTTTCCCATTCCAGCTCTGACTTGTTCCCTTTTTCTCATTTTAATAAAGACGAAAGCATCCAGAAACGCACCCACCAAAGAGCGAGATCTGACATAATTAAAAAGTGGCTTCAATCAGGCTGTTTTCCTAATGGTTTGTCATATCAGCCTGCACGGGCCTGCACCCCCTGTGCTCCCAACCCCCTGAGGCATCATTTACATTTCTTAATAACCCCTCATTAATATTCATGACGTGGAGAGGGTAATAACGGCTGAGTGCACACCACTAATTCAATTTCAGCGAGCCTCAGTGTGTTTAGTTAATCACTGGGGGACCTGGGTTACTCAGTACAATTATTTATTCGGAATTAGATCTCGAGGCATCTGGGTTGAAACCTGAACTCGGAATAAAATTGAACCAGGATTCTCCTCCTCTCCTCCTCCTCCCACCTCCGCTCCCATCCATGGTTCTGAGCATCCCCTGCAGCCCTGCTTTGCTGGGATGAGGATCTGGTGTTTCCATGCTGAGACCATTGCAGAGGCTGGGGCTTCTCCTCATCTGCAGCTGCTGCTGGGTCCTGGCTCCTCTGTGCCCATCCAGGGAAAAGTGTCAGGAAAGGCCTGGGGACATGGCCAGCCCCAAGGGTGGCACCCCATCCCCTGTGGCAGGTGGGTGCCTGGGAACAGGAAGCCAGGAGTCCTTGTTCTCCTGACCAAGCCAAGTCCCAGGATTTGCTCCAGCCTATCCAGAGCCTTCAGCCCCATTCCCAGCTTTGCTGCATGTTCCACCTGGGAGAGGCTGGTGCCAGCCCCGTGCAGCACCCACCACCCAGAGCAGCTGCTCCTCTCCATCCTTCTTTTATTTCCTTGAGAGCTTTTTTAATACTTTGACTTTGCTCCTGGTTTTGCTTTTTAATTCAATATTTTGTCCCTGTGCTCCAACACACCTTATTGGATAAAAATTCTTTTATTGCATCCTGCCCTGTAGGACTGGATGAGAGTTGGGCTTCCCAGGCAGCAATGCGGTGCCTCGGTTCCTCAAATTCCTGCTTTTGGTTTTTTTTTGAGTGTTCCCCCTGGCCTTTGAGTCCTGTCAGGGAGGTGAGTTGAACATTTTCTATCCCTTTCTTTAACAAGAAGCTCGAGGCAAAGGTGCCGGCCTCGCTGGCTGTGCTCAGGTTGGGGCTCTTCTTGTCCCTGGTGGTTTTTGCCTTCCCTCAGCTCCTGCAGAGCTGTCCACACCAGGGAATGAGGTGCAGGGGAAGCCTCGGGGCAGGAGCAGCTCATCATATTCTGTGTCTGTGGGTGCTCACTTCTTGTCCCCACTGCTCTGTGTGTGTGCTACACCTGCCTGCTGTGCTCATCCCTGGGTGGGGGTCGAGCTTCCCAGTGGCTGAATCCTGTTCCCAGTCTGTGCCAGTACCCCTCCAGTGTCTGCAAAAGTGGAGGTTTCACAGCTGGGGAATTATCTGAACACTCAATACTCCAATGCCAGACGAGCTAATAATTATCGTCTATTTATCTCATCTTTAACATGCAGATTTGTTGAGTTAATTTTGCCATGACCGATCTCCTATATTTTCTTGAAACAACGGGGGATGCGAGGGACTCCTTCAAAAACATTATATATTTTTTTAATTTTCTGAGATTTCTCAAACCAGACTCCTGCTGAGATAACTGCATAACAGCTGTGATCATTATGAAAAATTATTTTAGCTCAAAACTGTTTTTTAAAGCATAGCCGAAATAAATTCCGTACGATTTTGGCCGAGTTGACTCTCTCCTAATTATTCTTATTTGTTAAATTGAGAAATGCCTCGGTATGCCTGGGGTTCTGCATCTTGTGGAATTACAGAGCCATTTGTCACGACCTCAGCGAACAGAGGGGCGGTCACGTCGCTGCCGCCGCGCTCAGAGCCCGGGCATTGGCGTGTGTTCAAGGTGACAGCGGTTAATGACGCCGGGTATAAATAGAAATGGGCTGTCAATAACCGCTGCCTGCATTCCCGAGCAGGCAGCGCCTTTGGGAGGCTATGGACGGAGAATGTGTCACGGCAAATCGCTGATTCCCGGGGGCCGGCTGAGGGGGCTCTGCCGGGTGTCGCTCCCCCGGGGCACCGGCTGCTCGGGGCACGGCGGGCCCTCCTGTTTCCGGGCGTGCCTCGGGGTCTCGTCCGCTCCCTGCCCTGCACCGCGTGGCACCGGGGACAGGCGGGATGTCCCCGAGCCGCGTCCCGGCGCCGTGAGGGGCGGGGGAGGCCCCGCTCCGCCCGCGCCCGTTCGCGACAGCCCCGCGCTGCTTTCCGGCAGTGTGGCGCCTCCCGCCTCTCCCTTTCCTGCGCGGCCCCCCTTGCCTCGCTTTCCGGCAGTGTGGCGCCTCCCGCCTCTCCCTTTCCTGCGCGGCCCCCCTTGCCTCGCTTTCCGGCAGTGTGGCGCCTCCCGCCTCTCCCTTTCCGGCACGGCCCCCCTCGCCTCGCTTTACGGCAGTGTGGCGCCCCGCCGCCCTGGCCTGTGCTGCCTGCCTTACGGCAGGTGTCGCGCGGCCCCGGTGGTTTGCGACAGGTTCCCGGTGGCGGGGCCCGGTGGGCGCGATGGACGTGGGGGAGCTGCTCAGCTACCAGGTGAGCTCGGGAGGCTGGGCCGTGCTGGGGGGTCGGGGTCCCCTGTGCTCCGTTCCCAGCACGGAGGTGACCGCTTCCGTGGCCCCGCTGCGGCGGCAGCGATGCTGCTCCGGCTCCGGTGCGGCCGCGGGCCTGGGACGGCCGCCGTGCGGGGCCTCACCGCCGCATTCGGTGCGCTCGCACGGGGTCTGGTTAAAGTGCCGCTAGGTTTTGGGGGTCTCTCCCGTTTTTCTGCGCGGCGGTGCCCGGTAGGACCCGGTTAGCGGCGGCTCCGCGGCTTTGCCGGTGTCGCTTCGGCCGCAGACGGGCGGATTGGAGCTGGAGCGAGGCCTGGGCTCGTTCCGTGGCTGTTCTTTTCCTCCCTGTTTTATGACAAAACCCATTTAATTTAATTTTCATCAAAATATGTTTTTAGAAGTTTCCTTTGTACAAGTTTTCCTTTGCTCGGAGCGTTCTCTCCCCTCGCCCCGCAGCCGCTGGCGGCTCCTTGTGTGCAGGTATCGAGTGCTGGTTTATCGTCCCAGGAGCAGATTTCAGGTGTTCCCTGTGAAACGGGGAATGCGGGCACGAACTGCAGTCACACTTTGATACCTTTTGTGGGATAACGCCCAGCTTTGCTTCGCTCCTCAGCCCGGCTGCCGCCGTGGGTTTCCCTGGGTGGGGAAAACACCCCGAGGCGTTTCAGCCTGTGAGTCGTGTGAGCTCTGCTCCGAGCTGAGAGCACGGAGTTGCTGGTGTGCCTCATTCCGTGGGGCACACAGCTGGAGGGAGGGTCTTGCTGTTCACTCCATCTTTGTGCTTTGGGAATGTGGTGTGTGGAGATGCTCAGGTAAAAAGGGGAAGTTGCTGTTGGGTTTGAGAAGTTTCTCAGCAGTTTTCCCAATGGTATTGAAGTTTCTGGGGCAGTTTGTCTTTGAGAGCTCCACTGGATTATTCCTTGGTAAGCTCCAGGATGTTTCCCTCTGTGGATTGCTCTGTCTCAAACATCCTTCCACATCCTGCTGCACGGCCCTGCTGGTCTGAGATCTACTCCACTTCTGTATTTCTCTGTCTTTTTCAAATGTGATTTTTCAACATCAAGTTAGAATTCTCATTTCTTACATTGCTATGATTCTTTGGCCTTGTCCTCCCCATCTGGGAGTCAGCAGTGTCAGCCCTTACATGTCTGGGATGCAGGTTAAGGCACAGAGAGGTAAACCTGAATGAACTTTGTAATTTTTTAACCAAGTTCCAGTTTGGGGTTTTGTTGGTTGGTTTTTCTCTTGCTCTCAGAATGTGAACTCCCCAGGATTCCCTCTACTCTGGAGGGAAGTGTCCATCCCCTTTGCTTTGCTCATTTGGATTTTGTGCAGCTTTCCCTTGGATGAGCTTTCAGCACAGTGAGGGGGTGATTGCTTGTGACAGTGGGGGCTCTGTTCTGTCGAGGTAAAGAAGTGCTGCTTAGCTGCAGGGTATCTAAATTTTAATTCCATTTCTTGCTGCTAAAATTGTTCTTAGCTGTGGGGAAAAGCATTTTCCAGCTTTCAACCAACTGCTGAAATAGTTCCTAAAGGATTTGTCCTGGCTCTGTGCTCTCCTGGGCTCTCAGCTGAATGCAGGTGGTTCTTGTGTCAGTAGCTGAGGTGATGCTTTAGTGAGCATTGGAAGTGAGTGGTGCTGAGTTCAGACCTCCAGAACTGGGTGCAATGTGAGTACAGCTGAAACAAGTGCAGGAGCAGAAGGCAGGCAAATAGCTCTGGTTCTGAGAAAACCAGAGCTATTTGGTTTTCTCAGAACCAGAGAAAATGAGATTCCCTTCTGTGAGGGCATTTCCTGCTGAGATGTGGGGAAGAATAGTTGGAAACAGCCGATTTCTCTGCCTGCCATCCTGTGGGTCAGGCTCTGCCTGCAGGGAGGGTGGCTTGAAGAAGATGGCCAGGAGAGTGTGGCTTGGCAGCTCCCCCAGCAGCTCCTGGCCTGCTCCAGCCCTGGATTTGGGAGTTTTCTTGCTCTGGGCTGGGCTGTGGGCTGGCTCAAGGTCTCCTTGCTTGTCCTCGTTGCAGGGATGGTACCGGCTGTCGGGGAGGTGCTGTGGTGCCTCAGCTCTCTGATTTTAATCTCTTGCTGCAAATGAGTTGGTCTTCTCAACCTCCTTCAGCACAAACCAAAATAATTGCTTTCCTCTTACATGTTTTGAATTTTCTCCTCTAAATGTGTAATCTGTGCCCTTGCTTCGGCAAGAAGATGTTCTCCTTCAGAGCCAAACTTGGCGTGGAACACTGCAGGCACCGTGCCACCAATTCAGCACCAAGTGTCTGCCAGAACGGAAAAAGAAACCTCTTGCAACAAAAAATACAATTAAACAGCACCTGGCCGTTTATACAAAGCTCAGGAATCCATAAACTTTACGTGTTGCTGCAAAACAGTTGCAGATGGTCTAAAGTGATGATTAAATATTGCTGCTGTTTGCCCAGATCCTCCGTGTTTGGTCTCTGATTACAGAGGGTAATTAAGAGGACAAAGCCAACTCCAGGGCTATTCAGCGTCTTCTTTCAGTTGTCTTGGGAGGGAATAAGGGAGATTATTTGAATTCTCATTAAAGGCAGATTTCATCACTGTGAGTGATCATTGCAAAGCACTGATTGTCAGTAAAATCAAGCAGCAGAAGAAGCAGTAACTGATGGGGTGAGATCTCCCCGTGGTCTGTCGGGGTTCAGTGCGGCGTGTACAGGGATGGATCTCTGTGGATCCACGGGGGCACATCATCATTTCTGCTGCTGGTATGGATAATTTGCTGTCAATCTGCAATGTAATGGATGCATCTGATGGTAGGGGCAGCTCAGCTGAGCTGGCTGTTGACTACTTACAGCATTATTACCCCAGTAGCTCCTGCAGTTAAAACAAGGAGCCTTCATTGGCTCAGCTGTCTGCCACATCCTTTGGCTCTGCTCTTGGGAGTACAGCCCCATGCTGCTAGAGCTGTCTTGGTGCTCTCACAGGGTGGCAGATGAATCTCCAGTTTACTTCCCAATGTATTGTCTTTGACCACCAAACCAGGGGATGTCAAGAGAGATCCCTGTCCTGCCCCTTCCTGATGCGTTCCTTGGGTGGTTCAGAGCCTCACTGGAGGGCACAGGGGTTTGTTCCCTCTGAAATTAATAATCTATATCCATGTGGGTACCTGTCCTTGCATTTGCCTCAGGTTGTGTGATTTTGGAACTCTTGGGTCTCTTGAGATTTCTGATTTTCCTGGGGTACCAGTTCTTCCAGTTTTTAGCACTCAGATCCTGCGCCATTTAGAAGGGCTGTGTGTCATGCCTCAGGAAGAAAAAGCAAAGTGAGATTGATGGTAGCCTGCTGTATCACAAACGTTGGAAACAAAATTAGGAAGTCATTGAAGATTCCTCTGGAGATCAGGATCCCAAACTGACAGCTGCTGTGCTGCTTTCTGAGTGGCTCTTTGGAGCAGGCTGGGATGTGGGCACAGAAGCTGCATCATTTATGAAGATTTATTTCAGATTTCATTAACAAAAAATTTCTGAGCTTCACAGTAATGAGGTTACTTACAAAACAGATACCTTAGTAATACGAAACTCCTGAGTGTTTCCTGGGTAATATGAAACTACTGAGACCTCTCTAAACCTTCCTTATGTTTGGCAAAGGCTGAAGCAATCAGGATTCTGAGAAATGTGTGTTCTGATTTTGTGGTGTACTTAACCTTGATATTAATGTGCAATCACTGCTTGGAGGGAGCCCAGGGGCGCTGGCAGATTATTGTGCTTTGATTTAGGACGTTGTTTCCCTGTTCCTCGTGGCACACGTGGCTGATGCTGCTCCTGCTGCCCACACTGAGGTCATGCTTGGCTTTACCTGGCTGTGCCTAGACCAGGATCTGTGTCAGGTGTGTCTGGGGAAAGTCTGTACCCAAAGGCTGGGCCCCAGGGAGTGTCTGCCAGCTAACAGACACAACCAGTACAGGAGGATTACAAGAGTAAGGCAAAGATAATTCTCCAATTCTCCCGTTCCCAATTACCAGCTTCTATTTACTTTATCATATTTTATAAACAGTAGCTTTTTTTTAAACCCTTTTGTATTCATTGGTTTTTGTGTGGTGCTATCAGTGTTAGATTTAAATGAAAATGCCTGCTGAATAAATTACTGTGAATGCCCTGCATTCATCAGGAACAGAATTAAGCTTAGCTAACATAACAATTGAAAAATGCTTTTCTTGTGCATTTTCTAATGAATTCTAACTTCTTGCCAGATTCACCTTAGCACAACTAAGTAAAAAACCCCACAATTTGTTTATCAAATAAATGATTAACTTTCTCTTTTCTACCAGAAAGGCAGAACTTGTGCAGATGTCTGTGAAGCTGTGGGATTGGTTAAATAAATGTGTTTGATCACAATCTGTGTGTTTGCTGAGCGAAATGCACCGGGCTCGGTGCAGCAACCTATGAGCTTAATTCTTGCTAGTTGGTAAGAGTCCTTTGCAAAACACAAATGCAAACCCAAGATGAAAATCAATGAACAGAAAGTAATGCCTGCCTTAAATCAGTTGTTCATGACTGCGCATCTCTTGTGGAATGAGCAGGACCCAGGTGTTCCACTCAGGCCTTGGTTTCTTGGCTTTAATAAGTGCTGGTTGGGAACGGCAGCGTTCTTAGCGAGGTTTTGCATAACATCAATAAGGAGAGGCAAAGCCTTAATGCCTGCTTAATAGCGTTTGCCCAGAATTCAATTACTGCCTACTGCCAGGCTGCTGGCAGCGTTAATGATCGCACGCGGGGCACTTGCGTGATTTATCATAATGATCCTGCTCCGTGTTAGAGACGCCTCCCCCAGCAATGCATAAATACAAAAAAGGGTGAAATAATTGAGATGGAAGCAAGGGTGTAAATTCTGGTCTTGAGGATTGTGTGCTCAGAGGAAATGGGGATGGTTTCATGATGGAGTTTTAATTTAGGTATTGTTCTGGGGTGCAGTCCCTTCCTATGGCACGTTAGTTGGCATCTGACAGACCCCCAGCTCCCTCAGCCTCTCATTACACCTCAGGCTTGCCAGAGGCTTTGGTCCTTTTCACTGTTTAGAAATAAGAGTGAGGATTGAGATTCCAATTCTGAATTAGGAACATCCATGGCAAATCTTGTTGAGATTTAGGTGTAAATTTCAGGATTTATGTCACTAATTGCTGTATTTGTGACATTAATCTGTCAAAGATGGTTTAGGATGAGTGGGGTATTACCAAGGAGTGAATGAATGGAAGGACATAGGAAGGGCAGGGCCCAGTGTGACATCGAGGACATTGAGTAAGGAGTATGGATTTACTGAAGTTTTTTCTTTGGGTGATGTCATTTAGCAGAGCACCTTTTCCTTATTATTTTTATGGGGTTGCTGGTTGCTCAGGGAGTGTTTGAATTATTAGTTGTTGTCAATGACACATTTGTTTCCAAATGGATCTATGTGAAATTATATTTTAATGTACCTAGAAGATAAGTAATAGGAATCTGCTTTAAAAAAATAACCCAATCCACAAAACCCTCCAAGCAAATAAATTTTTCATTTCACAGAATCTCTGGGTATGCTTCCATGTCATGGCTATTGAATTATGAGCTGAGTAACTGCTTTAAAAGTGCATGGAGGCACTTTAGAAGGGTTTTAAGTCAGGAATGTACCATTTGTAATGGAAATGGCAGAGAAGATATAGAAAGGAGACAGATAACAGAGCTTGAACAGGTTTGCCTGGGAGCGAGCAGATACAGCTCTGATTTGTGCTAATGTGTTGTCTGGGAAACTTGATTCTGCATCTTCCCTAAAGTGGTGACAAGGTGGTAACCCTGAAAACAAGGTGATCCCAGCCAGGCTGCTCTCTGGCCTGCTTCTTAACTATAATTAACTCCTCATGTGCTTTTTGGGGCTGGGGGGAGGGTGGGCTTTATTTTTTTACATCTGAAAGCAGCATTTTCTCTGGAGCAGATGATTTACCAGCTTGTCATTGGTACTGGGCTGTGCCAGTGGTGCAGCACGTGGCAGAGCTGGAACCACAGCTGGATTCCCTTAGGAGCCTGGAGGGTTTATTACCCTCTGCAGCCCAAAAGTTCCTAACCTGCCAGGGAGCTGGAAATTCCCATCTTGATGCTCACACAAGTGCCAGACCTGGCAGGAGAATGGCAGTGTCACTTTTTTCCTCTCATCAAACTTCTTCTCATCAAATCAAATTTCTTCTCATCAAACATGAGAAGGATTTCAGCCTTGCATAAAAGCAGGGTTCATGGAAGCCTGGTGCGACTTTTGCCATTTTAGACAAAGGGTCCCACAGAGCAGAGGAGTAGGGGCTGCCTGCCAGGTGGTGTTTTATCAATTAAGATGGACATGTGTTAGACCTAATGAAGTTACAGAATCACCTACCAGGTGACTTGAGCAGTGATGTAAAGTAAAAGTATTTTTGTTATTATTTATTATTCTTGATACATACACTTCTTTTAAATAGTAAAGAATTAAGCTTTGTTTTGCTGTAATTATAGAGCATAGAGTACTCCTGTTCCAGCTTGGTTGTCCTTCAAAAATGTGAGAGACCAAATTTAATGTCCTTGTAGCTTTTGAGGGGAAAGTTTTTTCTTCTGTTGCAAATGCTTTTATCCCTTTCTGCCTGAATGAAAACATGGGATTAGGATTAATGGACTTCTTCTTGTCCTTGGCAAATTTTATTTTGACAATTAACTAGAAATAGTGGAATAAAATAATAGGTTGTTCCAAGCAAACCACGATGGTTTGAGCACTGTTTAATCCAGTGCCAAGCCCCTGCAGAGCTGCAGCAAGCAGCAGTCCTCCTTGTCTTGCCTACACTGGGTTGGGCTGATTCTGCTTTGACCTGTCAGCAAACTTCAGACAGAAGGATGGGGGTGAAATGGGAGGCACACAGGAATTCAATATAATCTTGTATACATTGTGGGTAAAAAATTATCTTTCCCTGCTGTCTGCTGAGCATATCAGTCTGCTGGCTGTGAAGTGTGGGGTTGTCTGAGCTGAGTCAGCAGGCTGGGGTGCCTTGATGGGCAGCTGTGCCCCACTGAGCAGGGCTGTTGGGCCACTCCTTGTCTGTGCACTCCTTGTCCTTGCTGTCTATGAAGATATTTTCCCGTGAATTGTGTTCATAGATCAAAGAAGGTAGGATGTTGACACAGCTCTTGGCAGAGGCATTCATCTGCTCATGTGATGTTCCACTTCACTAAATTAATTTCCTTTCCAGTTTTCAGAGTTGTTAAGTGTCGTGTAAGCAAATCTTTTAAACTCGTAAGAATTTCCTCAATATGGCTTGTAATATTGGTATTCTGGTTTGCAAGGGTCACTAAACACTTGTATTCATTCACCTTTAACTTCTCTGACTTCAGCCTAACAGAGGGACAAAAAGACCCCGTGATGAAGAGGAAGAGGAAATCAAAGCACGTCGGAAACAAGCCAGTGCCCGAGAGCATGGTCGTCATAGGGAAGAGGAGTCTGCTGCCCTGGAGGAAACTGATGATGAGAAGAAGAAACTCCTTCAGATAATTGAGAGGGATGGAGAAGAGGAAGATGAGGAAGTAAGTCCTCTGGGAAAGGAGAGGCAGTGGAAATAACCAAACACCAAACCCCTTCTATGTGATTTCCATTTCTTGCCATGTAGGTGGTGAGGCTTAACGTGATTTTTCTGTGCTCATACAGCTTCGGTTTGTGGGTTTGCTTTCCTGCCCTGCGGGGTGTTCATTAATTTCAAATTTCTCAAATATATCAGCTGAAGATTTAAAGTGGGGGCAAAAAGGAGAGGGCTTTCAAGTCTAATCTCTGTTTGGTTTGAGAATATCCATATCATCTTCTAAAGTATATTTTTAAGAAACAGTTTCTGTGTTCTAACCAATTTCCTGACTATTGTTCTCATCAGTACCCCCAACCACGCAGCTTCTCCCCCTCTTTGTAGCTGTGCAGCAGCAGCAGCAAATAAACAAACATTCTTCTGTACAAGAAAGGTCTTGGGTCAGAGGAGGGGGATGGCAGCTGTCAAGGGTAAATGATTTCAAGCCTTGGAGACAGAAATCCAATGCTGCATTGGCCTTTCTGCCAAGGGCCAGGGAAAAGATCACTTTATAAATGTGACACATGGATTGGTATAAATCTAGAAGATATTTGCTTCCTGCTGCCTGTGTCCTGTTTGATAAAAAAACAAGTGATATTCACCACTGCAGAATCGTGTAGCTTTGTAAAATATCATTGTCCTTTGTATACAGCATTGCCAACATCCGTCTTTAAGAATCTCCCTCTTTTTTTGATGTTGAGCTATTGCCATGACAGTTGTTGCTGATAGCAGAGAAAGATAATGCAGGATTTCTGTAGCATTTCAGCTCCAGGGAGGATGGATCGAGAGAAGAGTCCTCCTGACTGGCTGGAGTCTCGTGGATTCCTGCAGTGTGCCAGTCCCTCATCTTTGTCAAGTGGAGTCCTCCCAGCCAGACATTTTAAAGGCTGAAAGTCCAGGCTTTCTTTAGAACTCAAATCTCTTGTTTATTACTTTGGACTGCAGTTAATACAAGTGCCATTAAAATGTGCTTTGTCCCAGTAAATCTGATGTGAAGAAGCTAATCTGTAGGACACTGCAATACTGAATGCAAATTCAATACAAGATATAAAGCAGATCCTAATGGAGATATCGTAGTGATATGTGTTAGAGGAAGCAAAGAATCAAAGGGAACAGAAGGAAGCAGTGTCAGCATGTGTGGGTTGAAATCCCACTGCAAGAAGAATGTGCTTTGGGCACTGTAGTATTGATTGGCTGAATGGGGTGGTGACATGAGCGGGGTGGCAGTGAGACAGGTTGGGCAAAGGAATGGAGGAAATCCAATCATAACTGAAGGCTGGGGCTGGTGTTGTTATTGTAATGGAGTTTGCTGAAGAAGTGGAGGTTTTCTATCTCATGCCACATTGCTGCTTAGAGTCACTGACCAAAGAAACTGCAACACCAGCAGCAGCAGCTCTTGATTTAATCCTGAGCAGGGGATGGGCACAAAACTTGGCTAAAGATGGGAGGATGTCTGGTTTGGTTTTTGAGAGCTTCTCTTAAATAGTGGTTGTAACGCAGTCAGAGGAGAGGGAAGAGGTTACACAGGGAAATCTATATCATCAACTTTTTAATAAAAGAAGTGCATTAAAATCATAAACTAAGGAAAACGTTTGTAGGTGTCAGGGAGGCAGCTGATGTTGCATTGCTGCTGTACAGTAAATATACAACTCCAGCTGAGAAACACCTTAGGAGCATTTACAAAATAAAGAGAATATACTAGAGTGGAATATTGATTTATTTTTTTCTTAGGAAAAGGCTTTAAGATAACAGTGAAAGCTTATCCAAGTGAGGAAAATGCAGAAGAACATAAATTCAGGGCAGTTAAATGTAGACTTAAAAAAAGCAATAGCACAACAAGAGACTTCTGCAGAGAATCTCTCTGTGGGCACAGGCTGTGAGTGCAGGTTTGCTCTCAGAAGCAGAAAAACCTCGATAGGAACTGGTGGTGCCAGGTTACAACAGGTGTAAAAGAGCAGCTCGAGCTCTGAGCTGGAGTGGGTAGTGGTGGCATCTGAGGTGTTTGGCAGCTCTGTGCAGTGAGATTCCAGAGCTGGCTGGAATTCCCAGGGCCCTGGGCCTGGCTGCATTCCCACCACATTGCTGATGTTTCTCCAGCCATCCAAAGCTCACTTTTCTGATTTGGTCAGGAGGAACCTTTGGATGAAAGTTCAGTGAAGAAGATGATTCTCACCTTTGAAAAAAGATCCTACAAAAACCAGGAGCTGCGGATCAAGTTTCCTGATAATCCAGAGAAGTAAGACTATACTTAACTTTTTTTTCCTTTGATTTTAGGTGTAAACCTAAATAAATTTCTGGAATATAGAGATGTTTTCAGTTACATAAGGCTTATGTAACAGCAGTTACTGCCTTGTAGTTCTTCTAAATATTATTTGAAACTGACTTTGTTAATTAAAAATGGCTTTGTTGAGACTCTGGTGGGGCCAATATATTGCTGGCAGCACAAAAACCATTATCAGCAATAATGAGAGGTTCCATTCCATCATTTGATGTGAAGGTGTGTGCTTGCATACCAGCCAGAGATCTGTGTGGGGAGGAAATCATTTCATGTTACCCAGTGCTGTGGTGAGCAGAACAGGATGGGCTCTGAGAGCCTGATGTGTGTTTGTGTTCTTGAAGCCTCTTCCTCCCTTCAAGGTGTTCTTTTATACACATTAAAGGGATTTCTTCCTACAGTTTAATGCCATTATTTTTTTGTCCAGTTTGCTGTCCTTTCCCTTACCCAGTTTATTTTTATGGACTTCAGGCTCATGCAACCCACATACTAATATTTGTTAGCTAGGGAAGGTGCAGCGCTCTACAGAATTTATTTTATAAGCAGGTTTTCTCTTGTGTGGCTGCAGCATCTTGATTTTAATTTCTTCTTGAAATTCTAGAACTGATTTGCAAAATTGGAACAAATCTGCTTATTTACTCTATGTAAATTATACAGTAGAAATGTTTATGCTGCTGCAGGATTAAACTTCAAGGGGCAGGTGTAGGACAGGGAGGATAGAAATGCTGGTGCTGTGTGCACCTGGGGTGACAAGTCCTGCGTGGTGTCTCCTGGAAGGTAGTGGTCTCTTCTTACCTTTTTGTTACCCTTTTTTTGTCTTGCCTCAGGTTTATGGAGTCAGAACTGGATTTAAATGACATCATTCAGGAAATGCACGTGATTGCGACGATGCCCGGCCTGTATCACCTGCTGGTGGAGCTGAACGCTGTGCAGTCTCTGCTGGGGCTGCTGGGACATGACAACACAGATATCCTTCAGTTGTTGAAGCAGCTCTCATGGGAGAGGCTTTCCACAGACTTTTCTGTAATCTCTCATATCCTCTTTCCCAGGCTCCTGTAGATGTTTTTCTCCTCTTCCCACCACACTGAATTTATGTGTTGGTTTTTCATTTTTTTCCCAGTGAAAGCCTTCTTTGTTCAAGTGATATTGATTCTGAATTTTTTTTCAGTGCTGTTATTCTCCTTTCTTGTTTTATGATCCTTTCATCTAGTTTTGAGTGGCAGTGTTAAGAGTGTGAGCAGATGAGCAGCACAGGAGAAGTGAAGACCTGGACTTCACAATGATAATCTCAGACTGTGCAAATTTTGGAATAGCCCCAATGAAAAGGAAACTGTTTTACCCCTTCTTGCTGAGAGCTGAGCTGTCAGGCTGTCAGCTGTTTGTCATGGATTAGCTCACCACACGCTTCACCTTAGTTTGTAAATGTGTCCTCTTCATGTGCCCATGCCTTTAGTTTGGTGTGCACAGAGCTCAAGGCTGTGGGTGGCCCCTCTGGTTAAGTACATAACCAGAGACAATTCCATTTCCATGCTCAGTGAGATCCGGTGTCACTGACCCTCATCCCTCTGTGCACCTGGCTCTTGTACTCTGGAGCTCTGAGGGCATCTGAGAAAGAGCTTCCTATTAATGTAGTGTTGATCAAAAACAGTGCCATTTTTTGAGTGTCCTGGTGCCTTGATGCTTAGGTGTCAGCTGGGAACTGGCACCATGCCCAGCTCGCCACTGTGCAGTCTGTAAAAGCAGACCTCAGACCGCTTTGCTTGTAAAATACTCTACAGCAGATTAAGCTGAAAAATTGTTACATGACTTGGGAGATTGCATGTGTGTGTTCTGAAAATATCTGTGGGTGGAGGGAGCAGTGAAGCCCTGTGGAAAGGGCACTGCGTGTCGACTTGGGACTCAGGCAGTCCTTTTTCCATTTTTATTGATCCATGGCCTTAGGAAGGTAATTTATTCTTTGCTTCTTTATGTGGAAAGCAGGAGATAACACTTACCAGCTTTCCTGAGGTGTTTTGGAATATACAATGTGAAAAGGCCTGTTGGTGCTGCATGTTGTGGTCTGATGCACAGATCTTGGTTTTCTTTTTTAGCACTTTTCTTTATAGCACCATCTATTGAGAATTCATAATTCATTCTTTCTAAGTGGGTGCAGTGATCAGAAGCTAAAACCAAAACATAAATATTTTATTGCATGCCAGTTTATATTAGCGAGCACTGTGTTTGGGTATTTTGACTTGCATCAGGTAGAACCTTGATGTGATCAATGCTGGTCCCTGCAAAACAGTAAAGCCCACAGCTTCCCTTATCCAAGATCTGCAAGGAAATGGCTCTCAAATAACTGTTAACAATTTATGTTGTACAGGGGGAAGCTCCTCCCATGCAAATCCAATTTCGTGGTTACTGTAGTTTAATTATTTATTTTATACCAGACACCACAGATTTGTTTGTACTGTGTGCTTTTATACTGAATTTCTCATTCACAGGGGGAAAAGGAACTCTGGGAATATTGACTAGGATAGCAGAGCTGTTTGCCAGATAAAGTGCACCAGAGCACAGCTTGCTTTGTCCTGTCTGCCATGGAAAGCTTTGTGCTTGGCTCACTGCTGCTGTCAAAGACTTGTCAGGGTTTCCATCGTGAACTCTTTTTATTTGGTTTGCAACTTGCCTATCAATGAGTTAATGGGTAGGAATTTGGCCTGAGAACTGCAATTTTGGGAAAAGTGTATTTCTTGTTGTAAAACTGCTGAAGTGTTTTGAGCTCCATTGGAAGCAGAGACTGCTGCTGCTCACATACAGGGTAGAAGCACTGTTAAGATGAGGCATCTAGACATAAAGCTGAATTGATACAGCTCAGATTTCTAATGACATTTTGTTAAAACAAATGGGAAAATATTTTTTAAAATGAGTTCTTCAAGGAGAGAACTAAACAAATGACTCTTCAGATGCAATTTAATTGTGGTGTCTTGAGGGACTAATGCAAGGAGACAAAAGCAATGTCCAGGGGGAGCAGATAATCTGCTGAATGATTCATACAGTTTTACACAAAACATGTGAATGAAAGATGATCACCAACAAGATTTTATTAATGAAAGACACAAAAGCTTCAAGCAAGGCTTTGCTTTACTATCTCCTAAATGTTATAGGATAGCTGATACTCTCACTGCAAGCCCCAACAGAAGCTTCCCAGACAGGAATGCTCTGTGTGATGAACTCTGCTGAATTCTTTGCTGTGCACTCTCAAAAGAACTTGGTTCAGTTATCTTTGTGGCACCCAGGAGACAGCAGAAATCTTCAACTGATTCCTCTCTGAGCTTTCTCTCCCATGAGCTGATGAAACTCCATTTCCTCAATTTGTCCTCATCCATCCTGTATTAACCCCCAGACCACCTCAGTGGTCCTCTGCTCTCCCAAGCACAGTGTGTCAAGGCCTCTCTTTTATTGGGAGAGCCCACAACTGAACAAAATACTATGCAAGTTGCTCCATGAGGGCCAAGGAGAAGATAAGAATTCCCTCTGTTGACTTGTTGGTTTTGCTCTTGCTGGTGCAGTGTAGGGTGTGATTAGCCTTTGTCACTGCAGTGACACTCTGCTGACGTGGCACTTGCCTGAAGTGACACACTGGTGACTCTCCTGCAGCTTGTCCAGCAGAAGGTCCAGGCTCTCTCTTGCAGAGCTCACCTCTCCAGCCAGCCCCAGCAATGGCTGAACCTCACTAAGAAAAGACAGATAAAAATACTTTTCCTGTTGCTGCTTGTGTGTCTGAGCAAATGCACAAATAGGAGACCTGGGAGCCACTTTGTCAGCCCGGGCACTTGAGAGAGATCCATCACAGGGTGGTTATTTAGGACATTGAGAAAACCACGTCTCCTGCTCTGCCCTTGGGACGCAGGCAGGATTGATCAGCGTGTCTGGGAGAATAGGGAAGTGGGTCTAATGAGCTGGAATACGTCTTGTCTTACAAGGGAGCTGTGCAGCAGGCAGGGGAGCTGTGTGTTATGCAGCCCAGAGTTAATGAGTGAAAATTGGGCTGGCAGAAGCTCTGCTGTTCCTGCGAGGGCTGCAGTTTGAGGAGTGTGCTGCCCTAATTGGGCTGGGCAGAGGGGGGTGATGCTCCTGCTGCCGGCGGTGCCCTCGTTAGGTGTCTGTGTATCAGGTTAGCAGGGCTATCACTGAGAGCAGAATACCCAAATCACATTATTATAACTCATTTCTCTTTGCTTGTGTTCAGTCTTGACAATGCAAGATGGTGCCTCCTTAGACCAACTCCAGCATGTTTGATTTGAAAAAAATAAGTAACTTCCACGAAGAAACAGTAAAATTGCCTGATACAGTAAGCATAGTATCACATTTGTTTTTATCATTTCCAATTGTTCAGATTCCCTAATTTTAGCACTTCTGGGGAAGGTGTGCTGCAGTAGTCTGTGTGCTCTTGTGTCTGGTATCTGTACCCTGCTGTTGTGATTGTAATGCATTTGATCACCTCACTGGTAATGTATTGCCAGTTGCTTTGGGGTCATGTCATGAACACACTGGCCTAAGAGCCATCTGCTCTTGATACTAAGTGCATTTGCCTCCCTGTTGGTTGTCCTTAACACTCGGCACATGTTTCCATAGCTGTGGTTGACTTGCTGCAAGAGCTGACTGATATTGATACTCTCCATGAGAGTGAAGAAGGAGCTGAAGTCCTCATAGACGCTCTTGTAAGTAGGAAACCCCAGATTATTTCAGTGCCTCAACATCTGCCTCAGCCCAGCAATAAGCACTGACCCATCCTGCTATCTGCAGCTGTGTCTGGCTGTCTTTGCTGCCAGCATTGTGATGGAGATAGCCAGGAGAAGCCTGTTCTGAACCTGAGACCATGATGGCTGTTTTTGATAAAATGCTAGAGTTTGGGGAGTGGGTGGTTGCACCGTTTGCACATTGTTGCACCACTTATTTTTTGGATGGAACACTTATATTGCAAAATTTGTGTAGGCTGGGAGATTTTTTGGTGCAGGGAGGGAGAACAAAGTAATAATATTTGTGACTTGGACAGTGTCCCATTGAAAACAGGAGCTTTGTTTGCATTTCCCTTCTCTCCCGTGAAAAAGTGTGACCTGAATTCACTAATGGAGAACTGAAGTTTGTTACCCAAAGGACAGTGATGCCCCTGTGATCTTTCAGTCTTACCTCTTGCACAGGAGACTGGATGTCTTCTACCCAGTAACTCTTGTTTCAGGCCCCAAAATCTGGGCTTGAACTGGGGCATCTGTCAGTGACGGTGGGATTTTTTTCTTAACAAGAAGTAAAAACTTGAAAGTTTCATGTAGCAGAGCAAATGAACTTTAAGGACGGAGGAGGGTACAGAGGTAAGGATCCCTTTTGGCACAGAGAGTGGATCAACCCAGAAAATTACCTAGGTGGGTAGCAGATGCATTGGTTGGTGTTAAGTGTTCCTTGCACAGTTAACTCTCTGAGTGCCCCTTGGCCTCTATGGGGGTGGATTTCCCCTTTTCCTGCTGTTTGTGCTGGATGCCTTCTGCTCCCCCGCTGCAGAAGGGGAATACCAAACCCTCCAGAGAGGTGATGCCCAGCCAATCCTGAGTTTTACAGGTCTGTCCTACCTTGGAGCTGGTGAATTGCTGCCTTTGAGCATCACTATGGCTGTGTCTGTGTCTAGTTCTGTAACTATTGTGTTGAATTTGGAAGACAGGAAATTACAGTTTTTCTTTTGTTTGGTTTGTTTGGCTTCTCTGTTTTCTCCTACAATCCTTGTCCAGTCACTATAATGTTACCTTCCAGAGGTTAATGACAGTGCCCAGAGCCCAGTTCCTCCAGCTGGCCTCTGGACTGTTGTTAATTACTCTGCCTTGGTGGGGAGATTGCTGGGTGAAGGAAATGGGAGGAAGGAGCTGCTAGAGAAGATGTTTTCTATAAAATATGTGGAGAGGTAGTAAATCAAGTGAAGTTCTTCCTGTTTTCATTGTCACCAGCCCACTGATAATAGCCATGTTTAGAGGTTTCATTGTCCTGCTTGAAAGAAACAGGTCAGGCCTATCTTGGGAGAAATGTTTAGATATCTGCTTTTTAGATTACTTTTTCTTTTAAAGAAAGTAGGTAAAAGATTGTAGGGTATCTGAAGATTGTTACATTGTTTTCTGCAGCAGCCCATATGTGTGTTTTTTCCACATACTGGGTCCAAAGCTGGTAGAGAGTGTTTGAATTTGTAATGCTATTTTGTTTAACTGTTCCAAGCTCACATCCACAATGGAAAGTTTGCCAGAGTCAAGCTGGGACTCTTTCCAATTCCAGTTTCAAAGGTGTATTTAGGGTGTGAGCTCTGTGATTCAGGGACTCCCCCCTGCCTCTCTAGTTTTCCTTAACTCACTGAAGCAAACTTGGTGCATTCATCTTGAGAGGATTTAACTGCAGGACTTCAGCTGGTGACAGTTCAGCTCTTGGGTTTGGATCTGTGTGTGAGCATTGTTCTGTCAGCTTTTTGTACCTGTTAGGTGGAAGGTCCAGCAGCAATGTAGGCAGGCAGCAGTGACCAGCTGGGAGTGCAGCTGCTCACAGAGCTGACAGTTCTCCCATCCACAGTGGTTTGTGAGCCTCATGCTTCAGAATTCTGAGGGATTATAAATTAGTCAGGCTGGTTCGGGAAATAAGACTGTGACAAGGTGCATGTTTTCCTCCTGATGGTTTTCTGTTTAATCTGAAACACAAAAGTTTTTTCATTAATTAGGAAAAGCGTAGTGACAGATTTGCATGATGACTCTTTTTCTTCCTCTGAGATTTTACAGCAGGGTTGTTCATGTCTTCTGGTCATGTTTGGCAGGGTATTTCCTTAATTTTCTTCTTTTCATTCTTGTTTCTCATCTCTTTATCTTTTCCATGACCCCGGGGATTTAGGTGGAGGGCCAGGTTGTGGCCTTGTTGGTGCAGAATTTAGAGCGCCTGGATGAAAGTGTGAAAGAGGAGGCTGATGGTGTCCACAACACCCTGGGTAAGTGGCTGCTGCACAGCAGCACAGCAGTGAAAAAATGCCTAAACATTCACTGGAAAATGCTGTAGAAAAAGAATGGATAGTTCAGCCCTCTCACAGAAATAGTGGTTTGTACCAAGGGGTATGAGTTATCCCTTCCTTGTCACCCTCCTCTTTTTCTCTTGGACTGCCAGCACTGCAGTACAGGATCTGGTACAGCTTTTATTCAAGCACAGCTTGGAGTCACTTGTCCCTGGAGCCAGAGTTTGTCCTTTGTCCCATGGCTGCATCATGAAAGGTGCCTCTTCCCAAGCCAGCTGTGTTGGGAGGTGCAGATACATGGATCACTGCACTGCACCAGAGGCAATCACAGAACTGTTTGTGTTGGTAAAGCTCTCTAAGGTCACTGAGGCCAGCTATTAACCCAGCACTGCCAAGGCCACCGCTAAACCATGTCCCAAAGTGCCACATCTACACAGCCTTTAAAAACCTCCAGGAAAGTGCTCCACTGTCCATGTATTTACTATGAACATATCTGTGAGCTATACTTTGTGTCTTAACAATATATTTAACTTTTAGGTAGTAAAACATTTGCAATTCATGGAAGGACATAACTGCTCCTCTGCTGCCTGATCACTGCACAGCACAGAACCATTGCAGGGTGGTGCCACTGCTGGCAGTCACACCATCACCCACTCCTTGCAGTCCTTTGGGATTGTAATCTCCAGGACTGCAAGAATGAGAGAGACTGGAAACAAGAGATTTGTACTTCCTGGTGGAGAAAACCATCTTTTTTCTGTGTTTTTCTTGCCAGGAATCGTGGAGAACATGGCAGAGTTCAGGCCGGAGATGTGCACGGAGGCTGCACAGCAGGGCCTCATGCAGTGGCTGCTCAAGAGGCTGAAGGTGAGCTGGATTCTCATTTTCCTTCTACAGACCAGTTAGCACAAAAACTAGGTTAAGAAAAGTCAGTTGTGCTTGTGTGTGTTGTAAAAGCCCAGTTATGGACAAAAAGTTATAGTTCAGGGTCTATGTCCTCAGCAGTTTTAGTTTTTAGGTTTTGTCTTTATAAATGTCTTGCAGTAGAAATTGTGTCTTTTATCTTTTCATATGATTCATATATGTTGAATTTCCATGTGTGAGATCTGTAGGACTCTGAAAGCTGACCAGTGAGAGGACACACTAATATTAACCATTTAATGGTTTTTGCTTCCCACATTTCTAACAATTTTTGAGTTTTAAGTGATGTTTGTGTTTAAATGCTGCTGGGGGTGGCTTTTGCTTTGAACTCAGCTAATTGCCTTTTAAATTAAAATCTGGTTTTCATACTCTGCATCCTTCGATAGCGAGTTACACACTTTAACTCTGTCTTGTGTGAAAAAATGCCTAAACATTCACTGGAAAATGCTGTAGAAAAAGAATGGATGGTTCAGCCCTCTCACAGAAATAGTAAAGGAAATATAGCAAAGAAATTCTGGCTGTTCTCTGACCTGTCACTAAGGCATTAGACTTCCATGCTTAAATGTCTGCATGATTAGAAAGCCTCTGAATTCCAGAAATTCTCCATCAGCTGTGTAAGTGCAGGTACCCCTCTGTGCACTTCACATCCTTGTTAACAGAAGTAATCTGTAATTTCTCACTACAGGAAGTAACATAATTATGTTCTTTGCTTGAAAAGAAAAAGTGAAGTTAATTTTAGTCTTCCAGGTATGTACTGCTGCCTGCCTTGGAATTGCTGTGGCAGCTGAAAGACTGAAAAACTTGGGAAAGCAAAATAAGCCCAACTAGGAGTCCCCTCCTTGGTGCCACAGAACATGAATGCTCAATGGTATTCCAAGCTTGTGCAGGATGTGTCTGTTGGGTTCTCTGGCTGTGTTAATTGCTGGATTTGGGATGCAGGATCAGGCAGGGCTTTTTCTTGCCTGTACAGGGTCGTGGGGAGCTAATGAACCCCGCTCCAGGTGCTTTGGCTCTTGGCATGCTTAGTCTTGAATCTCTCTCCTTGACAGATGTGTTTGGGATTAACCCAGGATCTCAGCAGCTGGGTAGAGCTGCTGTGGAATGTCTGTAGGATAAGTTTTAAGATCAGGGTTCTGTCTGAGCAGTGATGAGGACATCTGGCACACAGCACAGAGCATGACTTTGTTCCTGACAGCATTTCAGGTCTTATAACTGTATTGTGACTGTCAGAACTGCATCAGAAAGCTCAGGTGGAGAGCTCAGAGCTCACTTCTGCAAACACAAGCAGTGTTTGATGACGTGTGCAGTCTTAGGAGATCAGAATGTTGTTTCCCAGGATTTGCAGGGCAGCAGTTGGTCACCCCATGGTGGCAGGGCTGTACAGCACCGAGCACCCTCCCCTCTCCCTCATGGTCTGCCTGGAGGTGTCACCTGGCTGCTGTAAATGCCATCCTCTGCAGAGTGGTTGAGGATCATTCTGCAGACTGGTTGGGGATCATTTGGAATTTGGAAAAGCTTTATTTAAAGTCAATATTTGGTGGTGTTTGGGATCTTCCTGCTTTCCATGTTTCTGTGTGTTGCCTGGTGCTTGCACACCATGCTTTGTCCCTTGGCAGAAGGGTGGGATGATTGGCCCAGCAGCCCTGCATAGGCAGGACTGTCCACCATGCTGCAGGGAGTTGTGTGTTTGGGGAAAAAACTGGGTGAAAAATGCTATGTTTTAAGCCTAGGACTTCTGCTTTTTCCCTTCTTGAACAGTGGAGTATAAATAGCTGGTAACTGATGATTTTTAATCTTGTTTTATTTTATGAATCTCTCAGTAAAACAGGTTGCATTATTATCTAATTGGTTAATGTTCAGTCTGTTTCTGTAGATGAAGCAGCTTTGGCAGCATGCAAAAACATTGGATCCAATTCAGAATCCACTCTAGGGATTTTTTTGGGGGTTCAAATTCAGCATTTTCATTTCATTATGACTTCTTTAGCATAAAGAGGATGGAGAAATATCTGAAATGGAAGTTAGGTGATTGTGCAGGCAAAACCCATCTCATGTTCTTCTGACTGTGACACTGATCCTCAGAGGAAACTCTGGCAGTTACTATATAATGTTATTGTGACGTGTGTTCTGAAATTCTGGTTTTGCTGACAGGCACAGGCTTCCAGAACAGAGATAAGTGCCATGCACCCAGGTAACGTTGTGGAAAATATATCACAGGAAAGAGATTCTGTGTGGCAAACAACTGGAGACTGTTCTTGGGGGTTTTGAGCCAACTTGGCCAAACCTACTGATGTAGGACCATGTGAAGCATTACAGTGGACATTCTACATGTGTGCATGAACCCACATGCACCTCCCATCACCCCTGCATCAGAATTGTTACTGAGGAAAACTGCAGAATTACTGCAGAGGTGTTTTATTTTATGTGCTGCTCATACATTTGGTGATTTGATTAATGTGTTCTTCAAATCAATGAGGTGGTGAGGGCTGTGCCCTGATGGGTCTCTTGCTCCTTCCCCCACAGGCTAAGATGCCTTTTGATGCCAACAAGCTGTACTGCAGTGAGGTGCTGGCGATTCTGCTCCAGAATAATGATGGTGAGCCATGCCTGCCATATCTCTGTCAGTGAGGGCAGAATCCAGGCTTCTCTCAGATCACAGCAGCACTTTTCTGCCTCCAGCTCTCCTTTGCTGGCTTAACTCTCCCCCATGTGCTCCCTCACCTCCACCCGCTCTTTCTCTGCAGCTTTTGTGCTCTGTCAAGCTGTATTGATTTTGTTTGCTGATGTATCAGTGTTAGATGGCTGTAAAATCTGACAGTTAGCTTCATTTTTCTCTCTCTTTTCCCCCTTCCCCCCACCTCCGTCTAGACAACAGAGAATTGCTTGGGGAGCTGGATGGGATCGATGTGCTGCTTCAGCAGTTATCTGTGAGTAATTCCCACATGCCTTCTCTTCCATCGGGAGACTGCTGGCCTGGGTGGGAGGAGTGGAAAACATCAGGGGTGCTGTCCTAGCAGCGCTTCATATTTGGTGAGGCACAGTCCCAAAATATCTTCCATGTGGTGTGTCATCCATGGTCAGTGAGATGAATCCCTTCTGTAAAGATGTTAATGCTGAGCTGCAGGGAAGTTGAATTATTACATTATAGTTTCATGGCAAGTTGGAGGTAGGCAGGGTTGGAATTGGTCCATCTTCAGCATGCTCCACTCCAAGCACAGGGCTGCCCATGTCTGAGCTGGCTGAAGGTAGTGTGTTGCTAGCTTGCCTATATTTCTTCAGGCAGTGCTGTCTGCAGCACCCTTAGGTATGAATTGTGTAGGAATCTCTGGTAATCAGCTTATCACATACCTGAGGGTGAATTTGCCCTTCCCCTTGCAGGCCCTGTGTATTATCCTTTAAATCCTGCACCAGGCTGCTGCACATTTGTGGGTGCACAGTCAAGGCAGCAAAGGGTAGCAGCTACAGAGGATGCAGCAGTGACCTCTGTGATCACTGGCTGACACTTCTCAGGTGCTGGAGCTTTTGGTGCAGACTCTTCACAAACTCTTTTGCAACAGCACAGCCCAACATCTGGGGGTAATTTTGCTTTCTTTGTCATTCAGGTGTTTAAACGACACAATCCAAGTACAGCAGAGGAACAGGAAATGATGGAGAACCTGTTTGACTCCCTTTGCTCCTGCCTAATGCTCAGCTCCAACCGCGATCGCTTCCTGAAGGGTGAGGGTCTGCAGCTGATGAACCTGATGCTCAGGTACCTCATTAGCCTTGTGATTTCCTTCCTGCTTTTGATGTGCCAATACATATTATAGCTAGATATTTGGCTGTCTTCCCTTTCTTTTTTTTTTTCTATCAGGTAAGTAAGTTGGACTTTCTCAGACATGGAATCTCCACTCTTTATTTTCTAAGAACTGAGGTTGCCACAGTGGCTGCTGGAAAGTGGCATATCTTTTCATCTGGGTGTCTGCTAGAGAATGGTGTAGGTCAGGTAAATCCTCTAAGGATTTAAATGACCTCTATGAGGGCAGGAGAGGACCTTTGGATGTATCTAGAGAAAACATTTTTCTTTTTTTTTCCCAGTTCAGGCTCCACTGTGTTGTGTAGCCTCTGAGCTGCTGAATTTTTGTGGTTGCTGATACAAAAATTACTTTTGTGAATGGGGCGTAAGTTTGCATTTCTTATGCTGTGCTTTGTCACACCCTAAACCTCTGGGGCTTCTCTGCTCTCTCTGCACTTTTCCTTGCTGGGCTGGCACCGAGTTGTGTCTGCTGGGCTGTCTGGCTCCCCAGAGCTGCGGGAGGGCACAGCGGACTCTGTCTGGCTGTCCCCAGAGTGCCAGGCTGTGTGCTGGCTGGTTAGCAAACACCAGCCAGGAATGCTGAGCTCCTGCAGCTCAGGGCTGGGGAATGTGTGGCAGCAGGGAACTGAATAAATAACCCAACATGGATTATTCAAATAGGAACGCTGGGTTTTCTTGAGGCTAATTAAAGAAAAGCTCCAAAACTAAGAACGGGAGGGAGGCCTCCCTCTGCCTGGAGTCCTAAGCTGCTAAACCAGCCTTGCAGAACTAATTAGTTGGAGTTTTTGTGCCATGTGGGTGGGATTCAGTGTTTGGATTTTTAAGAGCTTTTTACCCATTTTTTGGCTGTACTGTTTACCACTCTCTGCACAGGATTCCAGCTGGAAAATTATGATGAGAGGAAAATTTCTCCTTGGCTGCATTTTGCCCCCCATAGTAGTTGCAAAGGGGTTGGGAGGGACAAACTGTGATGAATCTGCCAGCAACAGCTCTGTCTGATAGACAGAATTTCCAAGGCCTTAATCTGTGGATTCTACAATTTGAGTGGGATTGGTAAAGTGACAGTGGAAAAAACTAACCTATTACAGAATTTGTTCTAGAAGCTTCTGTCGCTATTGTCCACAGGCATGTACTATACTGACAGCTGATTATTTTATATTTTTTAAACTCTTCTAGTGCAGTGCTTAGAAGCTCTCACAGGTGCTCAGTTTTTCTTGGACAGAGCAACTTAAGTGACCACAGTCTGTTGTCGTAAATAGGGAGTGAATGTGGATAGTTGTGATCTGAAGCTGTACATCTGTATCTGCTTGATACCTTCATGATAAACAGCAGAGAGCAGACATGCCTTTCAGTTGTGATTGACCACCTTGCCCACAAACAAGGCAGAGTATTTTTCTCTCCTGTTGGTGTCCTCTGAAGGCTGGGGGCAGAGAACTGTTGTTTTTTGGTTTTACTTTGGAGGTGGTTAATCACTGTACCGCAGCCTGTGCAGATGAAAGGACAAATAGGCAAAGTTGAAAGTGTATTGACATGATGTGAGATAGATAAGCTGTGTGAGAATAAAGATATCAGGCTTGAATCTCCATTACTGTCGTAGGGAACACAGCATTCTGTGTCTGGTGCTGCCCGATCCATCCAGCCAAGTCGTTCCATTATTGATGGTTGTGCACACAGACCTGCAGAGAGCTCAGTAGCTTTCAATGAGCATTTAATGTGCTCATGATATTCCTACAGATAGTCATGAGAACAGGATGGTTTCTGTTGTACTGAGCCTTAAAATGTGTGGCCAACAGCAAAAGGCAATGTTGTATCATGTGAACTTCTTCTTGTTTAAAGGGGGTCAGTGGTAATGCCTGAAAATGAGCCCAGTGTGGCTGATGTGCCTTATTGTGCATGTCCATGGCCAGATGGGTCCTGGGCTCATGCTGTGATTGGGATTTGCAGTTGGCCCTGAAGGAATTGGGGCTTCACCAGGCAGGTACATGGGAGGTGAGCAGAGGGTCTGGGAGAAGAGCAGGTCGAGAGGGATGAAGCTGATGACAGCAGGAGTGAAGGAGGAAATTTGGAAGTAGAATGAGAGCAGGGCTATGTATAATTATTTAATTTACATCTCTACACCAAGGGAAGCTTGTTTATTTTATGTCACATCTTTATCAAAAACAAGATGGTTTATCAAGGTAGTAGCCACCAGCGGAAAGTTTATAAATGTCCCTTAGAATTAAACTAAACTTTCTTTTTAGTTCAGGAAGTACTTCTTACTGCTCAGTCCCTCAGTCTTACCTTAGTAACCTAACTGCAGTTTAGCCAAAAGAGAGGGAAACAGGCTTGTCCTGTCAGCTCCTGGTGCACACTGACAGGCAGTTATTGCTTTGGCTGTAGAGCCCTGTGGGGTTTGAGGAGATGCAGCCCTGCCACTCCCAGGGGATGCCAGGGAGATTCTCTGTTGCTCGGGGAAAATTATGTGTGGCTTCCCCAGCTATGAACTGAGGAGCATGTGTATGCACAGAGACAAATACAGCCCAGGGAGCTTATGGGGACCTGCATCACTTGGGCCACAAAATGTTCTGTCCTGCAGCTATGCTGGGACTTTTCTTGACCCCCAGTAAAAGCTTTTGTCTCCTGTGTAGAAAACAAGGTGAAACCAGACAACTCCATATGGCACCCTAAAGCTTTTCTGTAGCTATTTCAGGGTACATTTTTTTTATATGATTATTAAAATATTTTTATGTTTTCTTGTCCTGCTGTTCCTAATGACCCCTGGAAACATAAGCTGTCTCTTTACTAAATCTTCTGGTTAATTAAACGGAACCATTTTATGCACACTTTCCCAGGAAATCCAGTGTTCTGCGTTTACTGTATTTTGGAAAGTTAAAGGCTATGTTCTGCTAATGTGGAAAGTACAAATAATGTCAGCAACCTTTTTTTCTTTTTTTTTTTTTTTAATAAAAGATATATCAAAAGAGTTGTCTCAGATGTAAAGGGTGTTAAAAGGAGAAAAACAATGGTCAGTGAGTAAAGTTGTAATTCAGAGTTTCCATGAACATTGAGGCCCCTCTGCATTTGGTGATTCTCATGTTTGCTTGTCTGTGAATTAGTGTTCAGCTAAAAGTTCCCTCAATGAGCACAGATGAGACTAAGATAAACTGCTTGCCCTCTGGCAGAATAAATATTTCAAATAAAATCAACTCCAGACAGTCCAGGCAAGCAGCTATTGATCTCTAAAAGCCTGAACTTAAACCCAATGAATATTCCAGAGCTCAGCCCTGCACAGCCTTCCTAAATGCTGATCAATATGCAATTACTTCCCCTGAAAACATTTCTGGTGTCATCTGGCCTAAGGAGTACTTTATTTTTAGCTCTCTGTGGTGGGGATGTGGGGGTGCCAAACCACCCTCCTGCATAGCTCTTGGTTGCTGGGGGGAGCTCAGGGTCCAGCTCCACATGCTGCCCTCCCACCATGGGGTCACAAGTGCCTGTGGCTGCACTGGGCAGGGTCACTTTCTTGCAGTCTGGGGTGTTCATTTTAGGTATTTTAGTCTGCCTGTTGTTAGGGGCTCATGAAGTTGGGTCTCTGCAGGGAAGTTGTTTTCCACAGCTTTCTGGAGGCTTTGAGGGGCCCCTGCTGATGGACATGGGCTCCTGGTGGCTCAGTCTGCAGCTGGGCAGGGTCAGAGGAGATTGGCATGTGCTTGGGGTAGAAGGTGGTGAGGCTTGTGACTGTCCTGTCCTGGAGGGAATGTCCTCCTAGGCTGGCCTTTGGGGACACTGGTGGCTTATGCTCATGTTAGCTCCTACTGATACTACTTGGTCTGGGCTGTATTGCTGACCAGTTTTTCAGTTCAGTTTCAGTTTTGCCCTGGATGAATTACAACTTCCTCTGGTTTGGTTTGTGAGGTACAGGGCAGCTGGAGATCATTTTCAGGGCATCCCTGTGTTATTGGTGTGAGTTACCACCATCAACATTCTGAACTGGCATTAAAGCAGAACAGCCCAGAGTCTGTCAGCCTCCTTCCATTGTGTGGTTCCTGGTGATGGGTTTCATTAAAACAGACCCAGCTATGCTCACCAAGCTTACTCCTTTATTAAATTAAACTGTAATTAGATTGAAATCCTGATCTTTTTGGAGATAGTATTTGCCTTTTGTATCCAACCCAGCCTCCCCCTTCTGTTTTGTGCCAGTGTTTGTAAAGGAGTGAAAAAAATATCTTCTTCAGTAGCCAAGAAATAAGAAAATAAAACCATGACAATAAAATACATAAAATGATATAAAAACAGAAAATAAAAAGAAATAAAAGACATTAAAAAAGAAATAACCAAAACAATATTCTCAGCCACAGTTTTGAAAAGAGTTACTGTTGATACAATATTTTGGCTTCTAGAAGAGAAATCTTGCTTAGAGCTTGTGCTCAGACGCTTCTTCATCTTGTCCTTGTGTTCCTTTCCTTGTCTCTTTAAAGTAGGGAGCTCCAAAGCTCCTCATGTCCCTGTACAATTTAATTTGCCTCTTTTCACAGGGAGAAGAAGATTTCCCGCAGCAGTGCCCTGAAGGTGCTGGACCACGCCATGATTGGACCAGAGGGCACAGACAACTGTCACAAGTTTGTGGACATCCTTGGGCTGAGAACCATCTTCCCTCTCTTCATGAAATCACCCAAAAAGATAAAGAAAGTTGGAACAACTGAAAAAGAGCACGAAGGTAGGTGTGCTTCCAGATCCTTCTTATTGCTGTGGAGAATGGACAGCCAGTGTCTGAAAAGTACCTGCAGGGAGGAGGGAAGGGCACAGCACCCATCCTCACAGCTTTCAGGTCTGGGTGTCCAGCCTGCTGCTCCTGTCACAGCTGGCTGTTGAGGGCACACTTGTCCTCCTTGTTTTGGTATCAGCAGCTCCTGGCAATTCCATTTCATGTGCTGTTAATAAGTTATTTTACTCCTGTAGAGTCTGTTGTTTGAAGCTCTTACTCTGATGCAAAACTCTTTTGAAAAGAGTAATGAGGCAACTACAAATGTCACCTCAAAAGCAGTGTTTTCATGGCTCTGAGCACTGAAGTGTGACTGGATGAACATCAGGCATTGCAGAAATAAACTGCATTGCTTTTGAAGTTGCTTTTTTTTCCTTTTTATATTTTTTAACTCTCTGCCCTGGAAAACTGCTTTAACAGTGATCTGCTGTGGAATAAAACTACGATTACTGTGGGACCTTGCACTGAGCTGAGTGGTCAGTCCCTCCTGCTCCTGGTAGCACTGCCTTTCCCATTTTGTTGGGAAACAAAGTAGACTGTGGACTGTGTCTTGAAAGAAACTTTAAATACTGCCAGTGATGCTTAAGGTTTTGTGCCAGTTCATTGCTCAGCTCAGTTCTACAGAAGGTGAATATTGTGTAAAGCTGAAGAAGTGTGAGTAGCTCTCATATATGCCTAGGATCCATCCTGAACTCCTGCAGCAAGCCAAGGGAAATTGGAAGGAAATAGCAAAAACATGGGAGTTTGAAACCCAAATCCCCTGCTTTGGGACTGTCCTGGCAGCTGAGGTGGGACTCAGGTGTTCTCCCAAGGCCAGGAGGGAGGTGCTGTCCCTGCAGAGCTCTCTGAGGCCCTGGCTGGGACGCAGCTCCTTCCTCTGGCAGAGCTGCTGGGCTGGGACAGCTGCTTGTCCTCCCTCCTGAGGACAAGGAATGGGCAGTGGCGTGGGCTGGGCATGTGTGGCAGTGGTTGCTTTCCTGGCACGGGTGGAGAGCAGGGGCTCACCTGTCACCCAACCCCAGAGCAATTCACACACCTGCTGACAGTTCTGGTCACTTTATCTGCCTTGTGTTTCTTGTCTTGGATAGATAATGGTGAGGGGGAAATTGTGGTCTGGAGTTTATTCAACGGACTTGCAGAGATAGGTTTGGTTTCTGTAGGTTATGTAATAAGATTGCAGGTTTATGTAATAAAATACACAGTTGTGCTTCGATGGATTTAGGGGAGGTTTAGAAATTTTCATTTGCAGTGTGCAAGTGAGGTTTGTTTAATTCTTCTTACTGAGAGAAAGCTTCAGCTGGAAGGGGAGGTTCTGGGTAGAGTCTGAGTCTGTGGCTCATGCCATTGACTTAATTTTTCAGTTTTGGAAAGTGAGCTAATCTCTGTCTCATCTGCTTCTTCTGGAGACTGCAGTTGATACCTGTGTGCAGTCCTGGCTGCTGTGAGGATTAGTCTGGAAAGCTCTGACAGGGTCAGTTCCTGACTATTTCTGTGATAGCACGAAAAGCCAGTCTGGCCTCAGGAGAATGAAGTGATCCATGCAAACAGGCTTTGTATCACATCTCCGTCTCATTATCATGCTGAAGAAATGGAGAACATTAAGATGAGTCCAGAAATCAGTTCTATTAAAATAAACTCTCCCTAAAAGGCTGTGGTAGTAAGTCCAATTTTCTTTGTTTTGCATCGCTGGGCAGGTGAGTTACTGAATTTCTAATGACAGGAGGTAATAGAGATGTTCAGCAGGGCTCCCTGGGGCCTGTCACGCCGTTGTCCTGACACGGTGGAAGCAGCACAGTCTGTGCTTTTACTCTGCTGAGTGTTGCCCCAACCATGCAGTAGTTGCTCCTGGGGGGAACCTGGCACAGGCTCCTGGGTGCCTCTGGCTTTAAGGAAAATGCTGCAGATGTGGCATGATGGAACTGGTTCCCTCCATGCTGTTCTGGTCCTAGGAACATGCTGCTTTCTGCTTATCTCTTTGTTTATTGATCAAAAAGAAATCTCATGTTCAGTCTGCATCTTTTATCATAAAAACTTTATCCTGTGTTCAATCTGTTTCAAAAAAGTTAATTAGAACAATTCTGTGTTAGGAGACCTTTCATGTGTATGCCAAATGGAGGAAGAGATTCCTTTAGAGGGTTCTTTGGAATGGTTTTGCAGCAGTGGCATCAGTATTTATTTAAAGCAGCTTTGAGGACCTGGGCTGTGCTTGCCCTCTCTGCATTGCTGCTGGGATGGTGTTGGGCTGGGCACTCCAGGCTGTGCTGTAAAACACAAAATCCTCAGTGGGCTCTGAAATCTGGGCCCTAATTATAAAGGCCAGCCTTGCTAAGATGCTCCAGCACCGGGTGAGGTACCAAACAGCTCTGCTGAAGGGTTTGTCCTGCCTGTCCCTCTGTCTCCTTGTGTGCAGTGGCTGAAGTGCCACCAGGCTGGGGGTCCTGGCACTCACTGTGGCTCCAGGTGCCTCACCTCTCCCAGGACAACCAATGCTCAATCTCTAGAGCACCAAATCTTCTGTATGCATCTGATGGTCCTGGAACTAACTGTGGCTCCAGGTGCTTCACCTCTCCCAGGACAACCAATGCTCAATCTCTAGAGCACCAAATCTTCTGTATGCATCTGATGGTTGTAGGAAAATATCCCCTTGTCTTTATTTTACAGCAGTGTTGCTATTTACATAAGAGATAGTCTATAAAACCATGTTTGTTTTATTGTCTCTAAGGCAGTGTTCTGAATGTGACAAAATAATAAATACCCCAGTGAAAAAAAATCTCTATGTGACTTGCTGAGCCTTTATTTATTGCAGAAATTTATAATCCAAATTAAATTTGATAAAAGTAACTTCTCTGTAATGTATTTCTTCCTTTCTAAATGCTAGCATAAAGGTGTCAGTGCTGGTTAGCTACATTTTAAACACTGTCAGTGTTTAAAAATTATTTTACTCTAGGGAGCCTATGAACAATTTAAATCCAAACTGCATGTATTTATGCTTTATGTACACTATGTAATTAGGAAAAAAGAAAGGGAAAATTTCTTAACCATCTTTATGGATGATCTGAGCCTGAAGATTGGGCCTGTGGTGTCTAACTGAGTGCACATTATCTACACTTGAATTTTGCCTGTGTTTGTACAGATCATTATATTAGGATATTAGATTTGGGAGAAAAAGCTCATTGGAAGCAATTTCCCTTTTTCTGAGGCAGTGAAGCAACTCAAACCAGAAATATTTTGCAGCTGAAGACAGAAATGGCTTAGAGTTTTCCTGTGTCTGTGGAGTTGCAGTACTCGTGTGAGCGCCCAGCTGGGCTGGACAGCCACAAAGAGAACCAGCCTGGCTGTGGAGGAGGTGTGTGGTTGTGTGTTGTGAGCTGGTTGAACAGCAGTGTCCCTTTAATGTCTTTGATTGCAGGGAGTGCACAGAAATCTGCCTCTGGGTGGTTCTTGGCATAAATAGAGGGTAAGATTTTAAATAGCACTTCTGTGTTGTGACTTTTGAAATGTGGGGATTGCTCTATGAGCATCTACATTCCCATAACCTTCCTGCTGCAGAGCTGAGAGTCGGGGTGTCCCCCTGTCCATGAGTGTGCAGCGGCTCTCAGCACAGGCAAGTCACAGTGTTGGATGCTGGTTTAAAATTCTTGAACAGTCTCAGGGAGCTAAAAATGGAGAAAACACAAATTCCTCCTGAATTAGAGAGTCTGTAGTGAAGCAATCATAGCTGGCTCGACAGGCTGTATATCCTCCTGCTCTTTCTCAGGATGGTTATTTGCAGCCGAGTTTTGCTCACTTGGAGAGTGTAATGAACTATAAAAGGATGTTTGTCCAATTCATCTTCATTTAAAAGCCTTCTCTTGTCTTAGGTGTCAGTTTTACTTAGGAATGCTTAATTTGATAACCTGAGAATTAGTTCAGCCAGTTTCCAAAGGAGAATTCCTGTCGCTGGGGTGTTTTGCTTGTTTGCCCTCTATCAATAACAAAGCCTCTTTTGGAGATCCTCAGCTACACCCTCCCTTTAAAAACAACAACAAAACCCATTTCTTAGTAAATATACTCTTACTCCTTTGTGACAGCAAAGGAGTAAGAGTATATTTACTAAAGGCAGCAGAGCCCTTGGAATGAATGTCTGCTTCAGAGCCAGGTTCCCTGGGCGTGGGGAAGTGAAAAGGCAGCAGCAGAAACATGGCCTGATAAGGAGTTATTGGTATTAACTGAGCACCCTCTGACAGCCAGCAGAAAGTGTTTTTCTTTTGGTGGTCTTGAGGAGTGAGCACCCAGGGAAGGCATCAGTCTGTTTAAGCAGAACTTTATTATGCCAATTTGTTATTTCACCATCACCCTCCGACAGGAACCTGTGATTTGAGTGAGCCATGATGCTGAGAACAGAGTTAAATTTATCTCAATTAAAGTGAGCGTGCTCTGTTGCAAGAGCATCAGAAAAATAAACTTTCTCAGTCAATAGAAAGAATTTTGTTTTACGTTCAGCTTGATGACTGGATCCAGCTCACCAGGGCTGTTGCATGTGGAGCTTTTCCAACCCTCCCAGGCCCCCCTTCACCCAGCCATAAAATTGGTGTTCATGCTTGTTCTCAGTATTTTAAGATAAGATTTTTTTTTTGCAAATGCAGTGATATTCAAGTGGGTTACTCTTCTGAAATGTAGATTATTAATGCACATGGAAACAAGTCAGGTTATCAGATGCTACACCACTGGAATAGCATGTCCCAGTGCCACCTGTAGTACTGGGATGCACCAGTGGCTTCATCCAGGTTTCTCAGCAGCCCTGAAACCACCGAGTTGTGTGTCTAGGAGGGGTAGAAGTATTCTCAAAGAGCTGGCTTGCTTTTTTCTAGTATTTTCCTGCTTCTATTTAGAAACTACAATTTATCTTAAGTGTTCTTTACAAGAAGGCTCTTAAATGAGTTCTGCTGGGTTCACCAGATCATCCTGCTTGGTCTCCAACGGGCTGCTCTCCCTGGCATCCAGAACTGCCCACTGTCCCCTTCCTGCAGGATGATGCTTGCCTCCTCTTCCTCACTGTTGAGCTTCCTCCCCTGCCAGGCAAATGTCCATTATAATGAGATGTAAAAAGAAAAGAAAAAAAAGCAGGGGGTGGGGATAATATAGGCAGAGGAGTGTAGTGTTACAGCTTGATTTGACAGGACCCCCTGCTGTTGCAGCTGCCAGTGCCAGCCATGGAATAGATTAATCTGTATTCCAACACGCCGAGCTGAAGTCAAGATCGATCTAATTAGGGTGTTTTAAACACTGCCTGCATGCTGAAGTCTCTGTGCCTGTCTGGAGAGGGAAAGGCTCCCGGTGCTGCTGCAGGAAGCACATGGAATATGACCTCCTGGAGCCAGGGATGTGTTTGGGATGGTGCCCTGCAGGACTGGGGTCGTGGGGAGTGGCAGGGCTTGCAGGTGAGCCTACCATGGGGCAGCAGCAGTGCTACTGGCTGGTGAGAGAGAAGCCTCCCATCTTCCGACATCCATGAATTTAGGGGATTTTGGGATGTTTACATGAAAAAGTTGTTCTTGATGCATAGTAGCTGCCAGCTGGTATCTGTTATTTCTGTGAAGGCATCTTTGTGGTGCTTCAGCACAGCTTGGTTTGGTGTTTGCTTCTCAAAGGAATCACATTTAGTCATTCTTTGAAATAGGGCTCTTCAACAACCTCTGCCTCTGGCCTTACTGTGCCCTTCCTGGAAGTCATGCCTTTTGTGCAGGGGATGTGGACTTTGGCTGAGTGTTACATTCCTATGGAGAAGCTCCCAGAATATTCTGTAGCAGGGAGGCTGCCTGTGGCTTCACCCTGGGGCAATCACAGCTCATGGCCTCTGTCTGCACTGGGATCAAAGCCAGGCAGCTGCAGGTTCTGTGTTCTGGGGACTCAAAACAGCATCAGCTACTCCCCATTTCCCAAAGGAGATCCATCATTGAGGAAATACTGTGACTACAGCTTTAAGATGTTGCACATGTGAGATGGAGATTGGGTCAGTCCAACCTTGAGCTAATATTGTGATTACAGCTTTTAGGATGTTGCACATGTGAGATGGAGATTGGGTCAGTCCATGGTAAAATGGTGAGACCCCATCTGTGGGAACCTGCACCCCAAGGTTAGTGTTTGTCCCTTCCCATGGCTGTGCAAACACTTTAATCCACTGAATCATGGACTCAGCCTCTCATTCCATCAAGCTTTGCCCTCATTTTGGCCAGTGTCCTTGCCTGTGGATGTTGGTATTTATTGGGCCAGGACTTGCATTATCAGGCATAACCTTGATTTTTGGGTGCAGCATAAAACACGCTAGTGTGTTATTTTTCAGGAAGCTGATAAAAAACCACTTTAGATGGTTCAGAAATACTTCTGTAAAATATTTCTTTGAACATTTTGACCAGGCAACTGAATACTTCCTGGATTTTTCTGCAGTGATGTGTTGAAAGAATAACCTTGTTCTCAAAACCTCTGTGTCAGCTCCTTTAGACTTGTCAGTAGTTTTAAAGATTTTATTGATAAAATGGATAAATATCTGCATACAAGCACCAAAGCAAAAATGATGGCTAAAATACATTTCTTAGTAAAGGAATATTGGAAAAAAGCAATGAAGATAGATCATTGGTGAGAATACTGCTACTAAAATGCTGCATCAACACTTCCAAAAAAAGAAGGTTGGGGGAAAAAATAGTGTGACATACAGAATGCTGACTTCTTCCTAAACCAGCAGAGCATATGTTGGCATATATGGCGAAAAATTTCTTCATTTTGTTGGATTTCTTTCTCCTTAAGAAAACGTGATCTTGCAAGAACTTGAAGGTTTTTACGATGCTTTTAATGCCAGCATTTAATTTGGTGTTGCTTTTTGTGGAGTAACAGTTTGTGTGCAGTGGGAGCGTGCTCTGACACCCCCGGAGCCATCGTTCACCCCCGTGGGGCTGTCGGAATGACGGAGCAGCCGCACGGTGTGGCCACCCGATAAACCTGTTATCTGCCTGCTCCTCCTGCCAGCAGCGCTCCCAATCTCCTTGGAACATGAAAAATTGACACCACCTCAGGCACAAATCTGTTTCGAAAAGGAAGCTCCATTTATAAGCGGCTAATGACATGGGGGGTGTGAGTGTGCCTGTGCAGCCTCTCCTCGTGCTGCCCTTGTGCAGGATGCCGATGATCCGTGCAGCAGGGAGCACAGCACCCTGGCCAGGCAGCCTGCGTGCCTTCACCTTCCAGGGCCCAGGCAGCTGGGAGCAGGAGCTGCCAGCAAACTGGATGGTGTTGCTCATTCGTTGTGCTGGATTGATCAATCAGGGCTGCTCGTGGCTCTGGGCTGGGGAAATGCATGGTGTGACAGCAATGAGATGGTGATCCCTCTCGTCTGCACGTTGTGTTTCCCCCTCTGAAAATATAAAATCTTGAGGTCTCATTGCTGCCTATCACCATGGCTGAGGAACTGTTTGTGGCCATTAATTTTCATCAGTCTTAATCAGCAAGATTACAGTGAGGACATCTTGGAAAAGGTAGGGTGGCTAAACCAGCAGGTCTGTGTTTAATGCAGTCATGCAGGTGGGAAGTTGTACTGACTGGTTTGGAAAGGGAAGGAGATTCAAGCCCTTCTCCTTTGCTTTGCACTGCTGTGCTTGGGCTTGAGGAGAGTGGCTCAGTCACCTCTCAGAGTGGTGGGACATGGACACAGGTGTCTCCTGTGTGCTTGCAGCCTTGAATTTTACTTGTCTCCTTGGTTTGTGCTGAAAAATATGACCCCCAAGTGCAATTGAGAATACTGTAAACATGTTTATTTGGTCATTTCTGGTTTGTTGTGGCCCATTTATATTCATTGATGGGATTTTCTTTAAATGAAACTGGTTGGTTTGAGAATTTTTCCACTAGCTCATACCACTTCAGTCTCTATAGGAGTGCACTTATTCCCTTTCTCCTGCTCTCTTTTTTCAGTAGCTGTCCCTGATTTGGTGACCTGAGGGTCATTTGGATGCTGGTTTTGGCCAGGGCTCCTTTAGGCACAAAAGAGGAGAAAACCAATTTCTCTTGTTCTTTAGGTCCCTGAGGCAGAGGAGACCTCACTGGCGGGGCTGGAATGAGGAGCTATCTGTGCTCCCTGCAAACATGGCTTGTGGCTCTCACTGCTGCTCTGTCTCTCTCACCATGATGGGGAGGAACCAGGGTTCTGCTTATCAACAGCTAGGTGCTGGAGTGTTAATAGTGAATTTAATGGCATGTTACAGAGGGAAATAAGCTCCTCTTCCTGATCTCAGCATGCAATTTTCATTTTGTATTTCTAGAACATGTCTGTTCCATCCTGGCTTCCCTTCTGCGAAACCTGAGAGGGCAGCAGAGGACACGGTTACTGAATAAATTCACAGAGAATGACAGTGAGAAGGTGAGTGCTGACTGTGTCTCAGGCTCTTGGCCTCCAGCTTGGGAGGGTTCTTGCTCAGGGTGCCTGGTGCACTTGCTGAGTTAGGAAAAGCCATCCTCCTACCTGCCTGCAGAGACTTCTTCTGTCACAGACCTTTCTTCTCTCATTCACGTTTTATCTACAAACTGCAAAACTGGATGTTTAGTGCACGGCCTCCACATCCCCTGTGCTCTTGTCTTCTGGTGCCCTTGCCTATGGTAGTAGTAATTCTGTCCTGGGTTGTGTCTCTGCTGAAACCTGCCCCTAGAAGACAATCTGTGCTATTACATTATGCTGGCTCTGAGATCAGGACAGCGTGGAAAGGCACCAGTGTGTCTGGTGAAGCTCTTTTGCAGAGAGTTTAGGAGTTGCTATGGTACACATTTAACATTCTCCACTCTTGTCCTAGAATGTTTCATTTTAGTGCTGTTTGCTCTGGGAAATTCTTCCCAAAATATTTACATGGTGGTGGATAGATCAAAGCTTTGCAGAAAAGAAATAGCTTTTGCAAACCAGGGATCCCAAGGGATTTGTAAATTCTGCCACTGGGAAAACACTGGCTCCTTAGTATTCCTCATTAGTGTGTTTTAAAGGTGTTTTTCATAACCTGTTCTACCAATTGTAGATAATTACTAGACAGGATTTCAACTGCCCTAACAGTTCAGAGGAGAGTGGGGGAGCTGGAACATCCAGCACAGATAGACAAGTCCACTGGGGAAACCAGGAGCCTGGAGGACCACAGCACAGAGAGTGATCTGGGGACACGTGTCTGTTTGCTGCCATTTATCTGGCACTGATGGGACTGTGTTCCCATGTAGGATCACATCCAAAAGCCTGCAGCCCCAGTGTGCTCATCCAACCAGCACTTGTACCCTCCTTCTGTAACACATTCCTTCCTGGGAGGGACAGCGCTGCCTGTTGCTTTGTGAAGGCTGAAGTTGAGAGGAAAACAAAATTGCATGAAGGATAAAAGATGATTGCGTTGTTCTTTTTTCTTGCTTATGTCTCTCTCTTCTGCCCTTGCAGGTTGATAGGCTGATGGAACTGTATTTTAAGTACCTGGATGCAATGCAGGCAGCTGATAAGAAGATTGATGGGGAGAAACACGTATGTATTGGTTAAGATTTGCCAAGTCATGTCTGTAACACCTGCGCACAGCCATGTTATCTCTACAGGACTTCTGGCTCAGCCAGTCACTGTTCTCAGGTGTGCCCTCATACCTCTGCTGTTCCTCTGAATTCCTATTGCCTCACTTTCCAAGTTCCAGGTAACCTCAGATAAAGTGGGCCAAGAATTTCTCTACAAGTGCTCCTGGCTGTCTCTTATAGTGAATTTTACTAGAAGTACCTAAGTCTGTCTGTGCTTCAATTTGCCTTCACTTTCACCTGGCTGCAGTCCTGCTTGGTTTGGCAGATGGAGAGCAGGTGAAATGCAGAGAGACAATTACATGATAATGTGTGAGGCCTCCTACCCTGGTCTGCAGGCTTGTGATCAGCAATGAGAAGGTGTCTGTGTTGATGAGTTGGCTGAGGAGCAGCCGAGGGCTGTGTGCTCTCCGCACACCAGCAGTGAACGTTTGAGTGACGCGAGCCTTGGTACCGCACAGCACTTCCTTGGAACTGAAGCTGGAACAGACCTTTTGAAAGAGCGGCTGGAGTCAGGAAGCAGCTTGCAGAGCTGTTAGCGAGCTTGGCCAGCTTCCCACAAGATTATCTGTATCAGTGCTGGGGAGGGTGTGAGATTGATTAGCACCGACGGAGAGCAATGGCTGCAGCTGCCGTCGCGCACGCCGCGCTCTGTGTGCCACGGGCAGCAGCCCCCCACCAGGCCCCGACAAACAGCTGCCTGCCCGTGCCAAGGCTGCTTCTCTGGGCACTGCCAAACATTCCGAGGGCATCAGAGCACTGCTGCTGCTCCAAGAGGCACGGGAGTGAGTGATGAATGGAGCTGCTTTTGCTGCCAGCACTCAGGCTCCATATGGGCAGCGGCACCGCTGAGCAGTGGCCTGGAGGAAAACAGCATTTACCCTTTCCTGCTTTCCTTCTGTGCTCTGTCCTTCCTCCTCAGGACAGGGCAAGAAATTATTTATTCTTTACATTTTGGTGTTGGTGTGGAGGTTTTAGAACTCAAACACCAGACTGGATTTTTTCAGTTGAAGCTTTGTAGTGTGTTGGAGCTGCTTGTACAGAGCCCTAAAATACCACATGCAGAGCAAGGGTATGCACCCTTAATTCAGGAACACCCTGGAGCAGCCTGCAAACGTTAACATCTGTAGCAAACAGCCAGCACAGAGCAGGAGTGGAGGGAATTTGAGTGTGAAGAAGTTTTTGTGGAAGCTTTTAAATTAATAATATTAACCCATTCGTGTCTACTAAATGCATAAGAGAAGTAAAACTAAGAAATGTCAGATTCTCCTCCTATCCAAATTAAATGGACCTCAATTCTTTACCTTCTATTAGAACTAATAATAGGATTTGGCAGAAGCATCTCATGGGTGTAACATATTGGCCACAGCATGTATAAAATATGATGTTCAAGTTCATTCCTAGCTTGGAACACGTCTGGAGAATTATCATTTGCTTTATTTTGTAGCATCATCAGATGGTCAGTGGGACATGGTCTCCTGAGATCTGAAGTGGCTCAAGTGTTTTCCCCACACAGAAATAAGCAAAAACCATCATTCTGTCTGTCACATCATGGCACTGTCTGGCTGTGACAGGATTTATGGGACACTTTAATGTTCCTTGTTGTGTGGCACATGAATCACTGAGGTGGGTTGTATGAACACTTTAGAAACTGTGCTCTGTCACTGGGGGGCTTTTGACCTTTCCCTTGCAGTAGAGGACATGGTACCCCAAAAATCTGGTATACAGATCCTCACCTTCCTCCCTGCCCCATGGAAAAATGATACTTGGTGAGATTTTACAGGTTCAGCTTACACTGATGAGAGTGAGATCTGAGTCTGACGGACAGAGTATCCTGGTGTAAGTCTTGCATTACAAGGAGTGAAAAGCTGCTTACACAAGAATGACTGAGTGCTTTATCTTTAGTAGTGCAGCTGGCATAAGAAATTCCTGCTCTTGTAGTTCTCCTCCTTTTTATTTCTTTTAGCTTGGCTTATTTTAGTGATTTGGTTTATAGCCCTGCTTTTCAGCCCATGGCAGTGATGGTAGTGGAATAGTTGAGGGTGGAAGGGAGGGGGGGAATTTCTCAAACCAGCTGTTTTGGGGAGGAGCACTTGTAATAATCTACACCCTGATCTGGACTGTGAAACAGGATGAGGTCATTGAGCCCCTTTTTAGTGTTACTTCCTTGTTTCCTTCAGTGGAATCTGTTCAGAAAGGTTTCAGAGGTGATAGCTTGGTGATTATCCTAATTGCCATGGGAAACCCAGGAGCAAAGTCCATGAGAGCATTGTCTCCCAACACCTCATGTCTATCTTAGCACTTTTCTCAGAATTTTTACTTAATGAAAATATCTTGTTATCCTCTCAATTTCTTTAATTATTTCTGTAGGAAACGGTGCAACATCCTGTGGCCTTTACCTCTCTCTAAAATGAGGTATAATTATGGGTGGCAGCAATAGCCTTGATGATCTCTAAAGATGGTAGGAAATGACAAGAGATAGTTTAATATTTTTATAGTTCCACGGAAAATTATGCTCATCAGGTTTATTCAATAAAATATTCTCACCAGACACTTTGTGCTATAATGACTTACAAATTACATGCTAATTGTGGTACAGCTCAGCCACTCCATCCTTGAAAGGAAGAGGTGGAACTCCTAGGATGAGTGTGGTATCCACAGGTGGGGATAACAGGTGGGGATTTGTGTCAGCCCATCCTTTCAGTTTGGTGTAGAAAGACCGAATTGCTTGGAACTGTGCTGAGGGCAGGACATGATGGCTGTGAGTGTGGCTCTTAGCCTGTGGTCTGAAGGCCCTTCCTGAGCATGTCTTGCATCCCTCAGCTCTGCCCAGTAATATAGATAGAAAGTAGTAAGGGCAGAGACTCCATCCTTAGAGTGAGAGACACGTTGTGGTGGTTTTTCTGGTGTGTGGCTATTTGGATCATGTTCATTTCTGTCTGCCTGGACTGGCCTTGCTGTTCCACATTGTGAGGGTGTAAAACCAGGATCCTGGAGGTGTTCTTTGTTATTGATCAGTGTCCTTTTCCTCTGCTCAGCTGTGCAGTGTGTGTGCTGGAAGGTGAGTGATAGATGAGGAGGGAGGAGGATGCAGAAATCTCCTCCAGTGCCTGTATGGAGCAGTGTGATTTTTGGTACAGCACTGGCACATCCATCGCATCTTTAGGCTTGGAGTCTCTACCTGACACCTCGAGGCCTGTCAGTCCTGCCTCATTAGTGTGAGAGAAGCTCATTTTAGCTTCACAGAAGCCCATCTTATTGCTGTCTTCTCCCATCAGCAAGGGGCATCTCAGTACATATTGCTGGCAGATTAGAAATGGCACCTGAGCGCTCATTTGGAGGTTAGCGACTGACAGCTTTGAAAGAGAGTCCAAGTGGGAAAGGCCCTGCTTGGTACTGTGCTGGAGGCAGACTAGCACTGAAAGGGTGGCTGTGGTTAAAAAAAAAACAAAAGAGGACTGTGAAAAGGCACCTTAAAACTGTACTTGTCTTCTAATTCATATCTGCTTAATTTACTGGCACAAAATAATCTCCTCTGCTGAGAGGGGCTGTTGGAGCTGCCACCGCTCTGTAATCGAGACCGTGCCTGCCTGGATCCAGCTCCTGTGATCGCCGTGCTCGGATCAGAATGCAGAGCAGACCTGGCCTTGGTTTCTTGCTCTGGAGATTCAGAGTCCTGGCCTGTGGATGTTTTTCTGCTCAGGAATTTAGCACTGTCGAGCAGAGCAGCCAATGAGCCTGTGTGCAGTGCGGAGTGTGAGCGGTGGTACAGGAGTGAGTGTGTTGTCTTTCTTGAGTGTTTTTTTAGGTAATTCAGTCAGTGTTCAGCTCTCTCACTAGCCAGACTCATCATTGTTCAGCTTTAAAGACCAGATTTGAGCCATTTGGCACGGATTTAGGGTGAGGGAAGTCACTCTCTGCACAAAATTAGATTTTTCTATTTACTGGCAAGAGCTCACATGCTGGCTTTGCCCAGTCATGCCTGTGCCCATGATTTTGAAAACCTGGAGTAAATGACAGTCATGCATGTGTCGGAGTCTTCAGGATCTGATGCTAAAGCGTCACATCTGGGTGTAGCCAAAGCAGTTGATTTCACAACATGATTAAGAAGGCACTGGCTTCTAAACTTGTTCTTTTACTGGCAGACTGGATTTCTAGGAGGAAAGGAGAAGTATTTCACTACCTAAGCTTTCCTCTGTCTTTCAAGAGGAAGTGAGAATCAGCTGTCTAAGTCACTCCCATCAGATTTCCATCCGGGGAGCATCCATTTCCCCCCTCTGGGGAAAGTTGCACAGGGCTCATTTTCCTTGTTACGTCTAAAACCCTCAACTCACCACTAGATGCAAGGGCTTGGCTTGACAGAACAGTAAAATTTGGCAGCCTCAGCCAGCTTTGGTGCTGGTGACTGTGAGTGCCTGGAGCACGTGTGCCCGAGGAGGTGCGTCCTGTGGAGCGTTGCGGGCGCGCAGCGCTCGCAGGTGATGGCTCTGATGAGCAAAATTTGGCAGCCTCAGTCAGCTTTGGTGCTGGTGACTGGAGCACGTGTGCCCGAGGAGGCGCGTCCTGTGGAGCGTTGCGGGCGCGCAGCGCTCGCAGGTGATGGCTCTGATGAGGAAATATTGCTCCACCTGCCAGACTGCTGCAGAATAAATCACAGAACTGCAGCGAGCTCGTGGGGCTGATGAGCTGCTTCCTTTGTTTAAGAACAAAACCTGAAGACAAACCCCAAAATGCAGGAGGTGACACGTGACACAGTTGTTTGGGCCTGTCAGTCCCCGTGAGGATGGAGCACAGGCACATCCAGGGCCAGCTCACAGGAGGCTGCTCTGAGCTCGCTGCCAGGTGGGTCTTGACAGTGTTTTGAAGATAAGCTCTCTGGACATGAGGAATGGAATGGAATGGAATGGAATGGAATGGAATGGAATGGAATGGCCTCTTTCTTTCTTCCTCTGGCCTCTTTCTGGGCAGGTCTCTCTAGTGAAACTCATGTATACAGAAGAAGGATGGATGGTGGGTCATCATTCCCATGGGAGTCTTTGGCTAAAAAGCCCTGTCCTGGATCTGCTCTGGCAGCACCTCTTAGAAACAGCTGGAAGAGCCTGGCGGGCATGGAAAAGCTGTCCTTGTGCATGATTTTCAGATGTGTTTTGTCATTTATCAGTCAGTCATGAAGCTAGAAGCCTGATAGATCTTAGAGTGTGCTGGAGTCATGTTCTGCACTGCTGAACAGCACCCTCAGATGGCCAGTAAAAGAGCAGGTTTTGTTCCATTCTGACAAAGAACTTGTAAACCACAGATACATGCGTCTGTTCCATAGTCACACACTCTCACCCTTCAATGTAGAAAGTGATTTGTATGTTTAAATTAAAATTTTGACTTGCAGATGGACACACTTCATGGCCAGCAAAGGCAAAACTTCTTCAAAACTGAGTGAAATGTTTTGTGAATTTAAATGAATTATTAAAAATACTTCTTCGGCAAGACATATATGGCTGGTAATGTTTGGGGGAACACAGTTCTTAAGAAACTACAAATTCCACCAACATTTTGCCACTCCTAATGGGAAGTGCTCTGAGAGAATCCTCACACCTTTCCTTTGTGTGTTTTTACAGGACATGGTGCGTCGAGGAGAGATCATAGACGATGACATGGAAGATGAATTCTATCTCCGTCGTCTGGACGCCGGGCTCTTTGTGCTGCAGCTCATCTGTTACATCATGGCAGAGATCTGTAATGCCAACGTTCCCCAGGTAAAGCTGCCTGCAAGCTTGGCAGATTGTCTGTGTTTCCATTCCTGATGCAGACAAGACTCTAAATCTTTGCAAATGCTGCGTTGAGTAATTGTTTCTCTAATTTTCTTCTGGGGAGGAAACCTGCTGTTTATTGCACTTGTGTCCATACAGTTCCATCAAGTTGCAGCAGATAGGGCATTAGTGGGAACAGAAATTGATTGTTGTCACCAAATTCATATAATCTGTGTGAGCAAGGTCAGGGTTTGAAATGGAAAGGCCGTGTTGATGCCATTGCTGAGGGAGCAGGGGGAAGGGACCTGCTCTCGGGAGGTCTCACAAAAGCACAGCTACAGCTTTTCTTGATCTGTGCAAAATGCACAGATAGATCTCTACTTCCTCTGTGAATACATTGGGGTTTGTGGATGCATCCTGTGGCTTCTTATTTCTGTGCCATGTGCCTTCCTGGGTGTTCCTGAGCAGATGCTGAGGGCTACCAAGACTGAGTTGGTTTTTGTGGTGTTCAGGTCTCTGCTTATCCCTCAAAGTGGGAAAAACTGGGGCTGTGCATGGACTTGTGTTGAAGATCTCTTTCTTCTCTGTCCTACTCCTCATCAGATTCGTCAGAGAGTCCATCAGATCCTGAACATGAGAGGCAGCTCCATTAAAATTGTTCGACACATCCTGAAGGGTGAGTAGAGATATTTTTGTGCAAGTGTCTCATCGCTACCAGGGACAGCTTGGTCATTGCTTTGCAGGATGAGCCTTCACATGTAATTCTCCCTGGCTTCCTGAGCATCTCCAGGCAGCAGCTGAGCAGTGTTCTGAGATCCTGGCAGGGCTGGAATCACCCTGATTAGTGGCGTGCTTTGCTTTGCCTCTGAGTTAGGACACTTGCTGTAGCTGCTGTCAGAGAGCAGCACATCACTGCACGCTTCCATCAGCTCCAGCCTGGCTGGAATTCTCTGCTGACATTAACGTGAGAGTAAATATTTAAGGGAATTGTACATGCCTGCTAGAGGGAAGAATAGTGGAGTCTCATCTTTCATTAACATGGCCTTGCACTTTACCATCTGCACCATATTAGTACCCGTGGTGTATTTGTCTTGTTCTTAGTGTCAAATTAATAGGGATTATAGCATTAAAGTATCCTCCATAGCTTTAAAATGTAGCTGTTGTGATTTGCAATCCCAGTTTTAAAGTACTGCTTGTTATTTTTAATGCTCATGGTGAATTAGAGCAATGCCTGTTTGAGCTGTGGCCTTCCTCTGCAGCCTGCTGTCCTTCAGCAGCAGCAGCCAGTGGAACTGGGGGAGAGGAGGGCAGGACTCAGCCTCTTCCCATGGCCCCTTGGAGCTGAGAGGCTTAGTGGAGGAGGGGAGCCAGAGCTGCCTGGAGAGGATGCTTCCTTATGGAATGTATCAGCTCCAAAGGGGCTGTGTTGTTTTCAATGTGAGGAGAGGAGTCTGTTTTTCTTCTGGAGGGAAGGGAAGCTTGGCAGCATTTCTGAGATAGTGGGCTATGGGATGTGTTCCAGTGTTTCTGCTTTTTTTGGAAGCAACAATGTTCTCCTGGGCTTTTCTTGCCCCCACTTCAATAATGGCAGGTACACACAGCTTATTTCCTGCAAAACCTGTCGGTTTTCTTCCTTCTGATATGCAGGAAAAAAGGAATCAGAAGGCTGGCTGGTATGACAAAATCAAGAGTGATTTTCTGACAGTGTGAAATTACCTGCAGCTATGGGCAATCTCCTTGGCCCTTGTCTTTAGCCACAAAGTGCAAGTTAATGCCTGCTGGTGAGCAGGGGGGCTGCATATGATGTCTTTTATGATTTTAATTATGATACTTGAAAATTCCTGCCTCTAAACTGCCCCTTTCCAATGTGGACTATGGCACATGTCCATGTTCAGATTCCCACACTTTCCCTGGGCCGTGTGTCCCTGGGGGAGTTGTCTGCACACCTCGCTGGATTTACACACTGCACAGTCACAGCTCTGGGCTGTTGACTTACATACCAAGCTGAATTGGAGGGCAGCTGCATTAAAATTTCATCTGATTCTTTCTTTCCCAGACAGTGACTTGCATTGTGAAACTTTCTCCGCGGTTGTATCGGGTGTTGCAAGCTCGGGGTTGTGCTGGGCTGGCTGCTCTCAGCAGCAGCACATTCCCTGCCTTGAAGGGGCACTTTGGCTTGTTAAAAATGCAGGGATGGGTACAGAGTCTGGGTTCTGACTGCAGCTCTCCCCACTTCGTATACTTGCCAGTTTTAGAGACTTCTAGAGACAATAATCAAAACCTCAGTGATAAATTTCTTAGTGGGTGCTTGTGAAGTCCCACAGTGGGACCTGGGAGGCAGGAGCAGCACTGGGCTCAGCTGCAGTCTGGGCTCTGAAATTTGAGCATTTCAGTAGTTACACACCTGTGTCCACATGTGCAGTCAGCACAGACTCACCAGCCTGTAACAGCACCAGGGACACACATCTGCTTCTCTGAAGGAGTCACTTCCCTGGACACAGCTTCCCCAGGAAGCCAAGGGTTTGGAACAGGGATTTGGTGTGGACCCTGCAGTGTGCTGCTGGGATGCAGGGGCTTCCAAAACTTCACTGGAGTCTACTGCACAAGACTCTGTTGCCTGTGACTGAGAGCTCAGGAGCTTGAGCCTTGGCTGGAATGTTTCCAGGCTACTTCCCAACTTGCTCTCAGGACAGATGAGGACCAGTTTGTTTTTACTTTTCGTTCAGTGTTTTGCTCTTGTTCAGTTTTTATTTTCTATTTTTGCATACTAATTAGGTGCTCAGTTTTTAGTTTGATTTTTATGGCCTACATATTCTCCATGTTTCTCTGGCAACCTGACAGCTGATGGATCCCTTGGGGTGGCTCAGAATTACTTACGATGCAAGCAAGGAAGCGAGACTGTTTTCTTATGGTAGAGCTTTCAAGGGGGAGGAGTGGGCAGGGAATAACGGCAGGCTCATTAATGCATTTCTGCAGCCTGACCAGTCCTCCCACACTTCCTTTTTCTCAAAGATCAAGCATTTCTTGCAATAGGACAGTTAGTTTATGCTTTGGAAGAAAACAACTGAGTGGTGTGTACCTTGGCTAGGAAGATGTTTTGGGGATGGAGGCTGGATTTGAGATGGCAGTGTCAGTATCTTGGGGAGGTGCCTGGTCTCCATCTGTCATTGGAAATGGAGTGAGGCACAGGTTTCTCTGAGTGATACTTGGCTCTGGAATGGCAAATCTCCCTGTTCCTCACTGATCCAGAGAGACTAGCCATTGATGCTGGCTACCTCAGGAGCTCTGTCAGAGCTGCTCCTGCTGAGGCCCCCCTCTCGCACCTGGTGTCAGGTGAGCAGGCACACTGGGAGCTGGGCATGTGGAATGTCTGCTGCACATTCCAGCCCAAACCTGTTAGCACAGGTAAACACAAAGGAAGGGTCAGTGTGCTCTGAGGATGGAGCTCAGTCTGGCTCATGGTGCCTCCATCTGTGCAGGCTCCACAGCTTCCAATATCCATTACAAGCCTCAGTATTTCCCAATTGATTTTTACTGTTCTGTAACCATTGTATTTTGTCTAATGAAGCAGAAACCAATCTTGGGCCCTTTCCCTTTGTGTAGCTACAGCAGTGTGTAAGCTCTGGTTAACTGTTGGCAGGAGCAGCTTACATTTGATTTTTTTTTTACCAGTCTCAGTGAAGTGGTGGAATTTTAAATAAAAAAGTAAATACATAAAATCTCAGTTGGAGATTTACTTTTTTAAGCCTGGTTCTGGGGGTTTTATCTGGTGTCTTCAAGCTGCTAATGCTTCAAATGAGCATTAGCAGCTGTCATAACCCAGTAAACATTCTGCCTTGGAGTAACAGGGGTTTTAGTCTTACAAAGCCTAGATGTTTAGAAGGAGAAATGCTGAGCTTTTGGACAAGATAAGAAGAATTTGTGTCTTGTTTTTGTTTGGGTGATCTCTCTGTACAAAGGAAGGGCAGTGTCATTAGTGGCACTTGGTGGCTCCCTGCTTGAGCCCTAGTCCAAGCAGTCTGGCCTTCCTTACTGGATGCTGGGGGCAGAGCTGCTGGCTGTGCCAGGCTTGGAGACTATGGCTGTCCCTCACCTGGGCTTGGAGAGGCCACTGCAGGTGGGAAGTGTTGCCTTTGGGCTGCAATGAACTCCAGCACTTGCATCCGCTGCCATGTTCCAGAGGCACTTACCCTGATGGAGCACGGAAGGGGCTGCTGGGGACAGAGCTGGCTCCTCCACCAGCCCCAGTACTCAGGCTCTGGTGCTGCCTGAGGGGACAGGGGAGCCTGAGCTGAGTGCCAGCCTTGGCTGGGAAGGGAGCCCCTTCCCTGTGCACTGGGATCATCTTGTTCCTGAGGTTTGGATCCCCGGTGCAGCCCAAGGCACGCACAGCCGGGTGCCTCGCAGCAATCACTCCATACACAGGAGCTACAGGAATCCCTCCTTGTGGGAGCTTTCTGCTGCTTTTAAGAGCTGTGGAGAGCAACTCCTCCACTGAGAGAAAGTGCCCTGAGCTGGTCCCTTTGCTGGGACAATGGGCAGCTCAGGTTCACCTGCAGCAAACCTCAGCATTACCAACCACCTGCTCATGTTACAGGTACTGGAGCGGTTTATAAATATTACAAGTATTTTTCCCAGAGGTTTGGTAAAGAACTCTACTGCTTTTACATGGAGAGAGAGACTGTACACACAGGAGGGAAGACTCCCACATCAGCTAACTTCTGCCTGTCCTCGCTGCTTTCAGTGCTCCTGTAACAAAGGCTTTGATGGAGCTCAGAGCGTGTAGCTGTGCTAAATGTATAAATATTAAAGCAAACTTTCTGCAGCAACTTACCATTCAGTGCTGAATACAAGCTGTTCTGTTTGTTTGGAAGAAGGAAAAGAATGCAAGCAGGCGGAGGCAGGGAAGTGCTGTCTTAACCATCAGCCTGCTCCTGATTCCTCAGATTTGTTCAGCTCCTTGCTTCTGCAGCTCAGAACCTGCTTTTCATATGTTCTTTTTAAACTGTCTTTGAAAATGCAGGTTCTGGTTGTGGGAAGGAGGGAGCTGGTAGGAGATGAGAGCTGCCAGCTCCAAATGAATATCAGGAAGGAGAGCTACAGAGGGAGTGTTTAGTTCTGTGGTGTTTGACCGTGTGCAGGGATGGGCAAGACCGTGATCAGGGTCTGGTGTCCTCTGCCTGATGACAAGTACTTTGGTTTGTAGTTAAATCTGAACTGGTGGCTTTTCTTCTGTGTGGTTAAAAGCACTGGGTAGATGAAGGAATTGGGGTCTCCTTGGCAAAAATCCTCATTCAGGATGCTTGGACAGCAGGCAGGTTAAACCCAGGACTGGGAATGATTAACAGTTGTCACAGACCCCACCTCACCTTCCCTGATGACACTCAGTTGCCAAAGAGACCTAGGAAGCCGGTGATTTGCAGTGATTTATGGTTTGCATTTCTTGGGCATAATGCCATGATTCCCATGCCAGGGAATGGGTGCTCCTGGGTGCTGCTGTCTGCTTGGGCCAGAGCAGGGAGTTCTCTGTGTCTGTCTGCCTCAGAAGCTTTAATGAGTGTCAGCAGGTGTTTGTTATGCAAAGCTTTAACCCTGGGGATGGGCAGGAAAACCATCAATGCTCCTTGCATTAATTCCCATTTGGCTGTCTGCAGTAGTGTGGGTGTAGATTCTGCTGTGGTGTCTGCAGGAGTTGTTGTCCTTTGTTGGTTCCTGGTGCACTCAAAGCCTGTGTCCCTCTGCTCTCTCCCTGCAGAGTACGCGGAGAACATCGGGGACGGGAAGAACCAGGAGTTCCGGGAGAGCGAGCAGAAGCGGATCCTGGATCTGCTGGAGAATTTCTGAGGCCCTGGGAGACACCTCTGTGTCTGCCCACAAGGACATGGCGCCAGTCCTCCCTCCTCCTGCCCCTCCTCCAGCCTCTACTGCACGATCAAAGTGATGTTTCTATGAAACTGCTTCTAAATGGGATTTGGGAGATATTAAAGATAGTTTGCTTTTTTTTTAGTTGCTGGTTTGTTATTTGAGCAGTGTTCTGTGAGTGGGGCTGCAGCTGCATACGCAGCACAAAGCCAGCATGAGGTTCTCATCTTTTTTATCTTTTTCCCCCTAAATCAAGCTGCCAAGGATCACTGTGAAACAATACAAATGTTTGTGTGGCAGGGAGGGCAGAGAGGAAGGCTGCATGGCTCGAGAGACTGTTGGCAGGTTATTCCAGCCTGATGCATTAATGAAAATGTACAGCCCTTGCTCTGATGGGAACCAGGGAGGCTGAGGCAGTGGTGTGTGTCCAGTTCATCCCTTCTTCAGTGGCAGACGAGATCCAGGAATTGACCACATCAGCCATTCCTGTTACATCTTTCCAAAGGTGAGTGGGAATTGAAAGTAGGTTCTGGCACAGGCTGGTCACTGTTCCCTTCTGAAGAGGAAAAAGAGGAAATGAGTCCATTGGGGTTTTACCCAGAACTAAGAGTGAAGGGAGGTAAGAAGTGACATGCCCAAATTCCATTGCCTTTCTTTCACAGTCAGCTTTGGGTCTTGGCTGTGCTTGTCCAGTAGAAAACCAGAGTTGTGGTTCCTGGACAGGGAGCTTGGCTCTTGAGCAGCAAGTCCCTGAGAGCAGAGATGTGGCCCTGCCTGCCCCAGGGGAAAGGGCCACAGCTCATTCTCATCAACCACGGTGTGGTTTTGGGTGTCACTGTGCCAGACTCCAGTGCTTCCCTGAGCCGGGACTCCCAGCTGGGATGGGAAGTAGCAGAGGATATTTTCCTGCATCCTCTTTTCTGCTGCTGAAGTTAATGACTGTCATCACAAGCCATCGTGGCTCCTGCAAGCTGGGCCGTGCCTAATTTAGAGAGATTTGCATGCTGGCAGCATTCATTTTTTATCTCCAAGAAAAATGCATTGTCAGGCAAGCTTAAAGGCTTCCTTCAATCCTGACTGCACAGGCACTGCTGGCCTGGTGCTATTGAACGCTGGTGTTCAGGGCATCAGCATGGAAGTCGTGGCTTCAGCAGCCACAAAAAGCTACAAAAATACATATTTTTTGTGTGGAACTTGTCAAATTCCTCATTTCTTTCTTCTGTTTTCAATCTGCTTCCTTAGAGGTGTTTTTTCCTTTAGCTTTCAGGTGTGTTTAGGTTTTTACTTGATTCTGGGATTTATTCCCTTTCCACACCAGTGGAGCTGTGGTCAGAGCTGGTTTCTGGTTTCCCCTGGAAGAGAACTGACTGTCCCCTCACGCTGTGCTTGTGTTGGAGGAGCTGAGGAGAAAGGGAGGGATCTCAGAGAGTTTGAGGCAGGGCAGAAAGGGGACTTAGTGAATGTGGACCAGCTTCAGGTGAGAAGTGGGGTCATGTATCTGGGAGAGAAAAGAGCGGAGAAGGTCTTGAGAAATCTTCAGTAAACTGCCTAGGGGCAAGGTAAGTTTATAAATCTGAGTGTCCATTTTAAACCTGACTTTGCTGTTTGCTGCACATGTGTGTATACATGTGATCATTTCCATGCACAGCTGGTGAGCTGCTGTGGGTGTGCAGGGCATGATCCCTGCTCTGAGTTGGCTCCTCTCAGATGGGGAAAACCTCCTGCAGCATCTGCTGGGAGTGAAATACCAGTCACTGCCACAGTGGGTTGTGCCAGTGAACTCACTTTGGAAGCTCTAGCAGCAAAGGACAGGGGCTGGAGGAACCAAAAGTGTGGTGGGTGTGGTATGTGCGTTCGCTGGGCTCCCTGGGGAGCAGGAAAGGGTCCTGGCACTGCTCCAGCTGCCAGCAGTCAGAGCTGTCCTGGGTCGGGAGAAGGAGCAGGCACAGCCTGTGATGGGCCTGGGCCTCAGCAGTGTCCTGTGAGGTGAGGTGGTGTTCCCTCTGCAGGGCTGGGACGTGGTGCCACCCCTGCACTGTCCCTCACAGCTCTCAGGGCCGTGGTGCTGCACCTGGGGAGCAGGAGTGCCTTGCCGTGAGTATTGTGTTCCCCAGCTGAAAGAAGAATTTGTGGGATTAGGGAATGGCAGTGTGCCCATCCCACCCAGCCCAGCCACTGTCCCTGTGATGGATGAGAGTGCTCCAGATGTTGCTGAGAAATTTGCACAGAGATGGTTCCTGCAAATCAGGCTTCTACAAGGTGGATGACAAATTATTCTTTTCTGATTTCCAAGCTTTTTCAGAGGGAGGAACCCCACTGCTCCAAAGGAACCCAGTCAAATTTGATCCTGGTAATCACAGCAGGCCCTGCCATGCACCCACACTGACCCCACACCCCACTGCTGGGAAACACTGGATCCTCTGCCTTGGTCCTTGGGATAGGCTGGAGGCCCACCTGGGCACACTCTTATTAATTAAGGTAATTATTCAGCTTAATGTGCTGCTCCTAGCCAGCTCATTTGTGCTGTCATATTGAGCAGCACAGAAAAGCCTTGGAGGTGTGAGGATGGGCACCCCAAGTCTTGGCAGTTGTGGAGAATGACGTTATTGTAATTGAGGGAGGATTAAAAGGTGGAGCTAATAACAGATTTCCTTGAGGAAGCATCCATAGGCTGCAGACAGGGGGATTTGTGCCCTGCTTTAACCCTGCTGGTTCTGTGGCCCTGGAACTGCAGCATCACTCTTGGCTTTTGAGCTAAATGTGGGTTTTGGGAGAGGGTGCAGGATTGGCACAACACACAGGCAGCACCAGTGGGACTCTGGGCTGCTGGGAGTGATGGCAGGGACTGGTGACAGCAGCCTGATGGCCTTGGCTCCTCTGAGAGCCCTCATTGTGTTGAGCCACACTCCTCTGGCCACTCTGCTCTCAGAGTACCGGGCCAGCCTCAGCACAGGGCAGCAAAACATGCACGGACAGAGACCCCTCTCCACTGTACCCCTCCCTGGGCCGTGCTTCTCGTCTCTGATTGTAAACAGATTTGACTAAAGAGGTAAATGAGAAGGTAATTAGAGGGAACATGATGGATGGGGCGCTCTGGTGATGGGAAGCAGGAATCTTGCCCTCCAGGAGAAAGGAGCTGGGAGGATGTTCTCGCGGTGCCTCACGCTTCCCTCTGCAGCAGGATCCTGGGATGCAGTGGTGGGAGCTCTGACCCCTGGGCATGCCCAAGGCTGCCCAGGCTGAGACCAGCTGTGGGCAGTGGCTGCTGCAGGCAGGGATGAGCCTGTCACCCGGACATCTGGACATTGATGCCCTTTTGTCAGGGCACTGATCAGGGCTCAGCAGCCTTCGGTACCAGGTGCACGAGGCTGCTGAGCACCAGTGCAGGATTTAAAAGCAGGAAAGCAGCCAAGGATGAGGGAGATGGTGTCCTCAGTCTGTGGGGTCATTGGATTCCTCTGCCCCGTGGTGAGGTTTGGTTGGGCTGTGGCCAGGCTGGACTTGGCTGGGGCTGGGCAAATCCTGGGGCAAGTCCTGGGGAAGCAGGTGGGGGAGTGGGGAGGGAGAGGCATGGTGACACCATCCTTGCAGTGGGTGGCAGGGTGAGATCCCCATCTGGCAGCATCAGGGAGGGTGGGAGCACTGTTTTCCTCCTGCTGGAAGTGGCAGGAGCTGGTGGCATTTCCCCCTGGCCACGGGAGACAGGCACCGACTGTCCTACTGTGTGTCCAAATCCATCTTCAGCTGCGCTCCCGGCTGAGCCTCCCTAAACGGGGAGAAATGAGTGTAAATCATGGCTGAGAAACATCTCCTGATATCCCAGTGGAGGGACTGAGGCTGTGCTAAATACAGCGAGAGGCTGTCAGCACTGGGAACAAACCGTCAGCTGCAAAATAAGTCACTTACACTATTGATTTTTTAAAATATTTTTTTTTCTTTTAAGGCCTTGCTCTCAGGGAAAGCTTTTCTCTTGGGGCAGGAAATTATTTGGAGGGGGAAGGGCTGGTTCAGTTTGTGGTATTTTTTTGTTTGGTTTTTTTTTGTGTGGGGTTTTTTTTTTTTTTTTTTTTTTTTTTTACATTTTTTTGGTGCTTAATTGTTTGGAAGGAGGGAACTGTTCCACAATGATGGACACCTGTGATATTGCTCCTCTCCATCAGGAACCTGGCAGTGGGTTCTGCAGAGGAAGGAGTTAATGGCCTGGAAACAGCCTTGAGTTCTCTGAAGAAATAACTCTTTTCAAGTAATTTTCTTCTGAATTTTATGCTTTGGAGACTTCCCTGTGCAGGGGCTGCTCTGGGCAGAGGCCTTTGAGTCCCAAAACCCCCATGCGCTTGGGGGGTGCAGTTCCTGCTGTCTTTCCCACATTGTGCTGGGACTCCCAGGGCTCCCCAGGGTGGGGGGCCAAGGACACAGGACTGTGACCATCCCAAAACAGGCAGGGGGACAAAAACACCACGTATCCCTGCCCATAAATGCTCCCACTGCTCTCCCAGCCAGGTCGTGCCACTGGGAAGGGCTGTGCTGGCAGTGACACAAGGAGCCCGTGGTGGTGCTGATCTTGAGCAGGGTTCCCTCTACCCAAAAACCCTCTCCTGCTCAGTCTGTTATTTTTGATGCTGTTGTGGCTGTCGTGGTGTGGGTGGCTGGGTTGTGTTTGCTCAGCTCCCACTCTCTGCCTCCCTGGCTGCTCCCTTCCTGCACCGGGGGATCCCGACAGGCGCTGCCTCCGTGGCTGGCTGTGCCCGGGATGATTTGTGGAGGAGCAGGCTCTAATGTTGCCTGGCGGGAGCATTGTTTTCCTGCAGCGCACGCAGACCTTTGCAAATAATCTAATAATGCAGGAATGTCAAACTTCAGCTGTGGAAGGAAATCCTTTTATACAGGAATTGTCAAGTCTCTAAACAAGTATCAGAAATGAGCTCAGTATCAATGTGGAGGGTGTTTATTCTGCCCGTCAGAGAGATGAACAACCCAATTCACTCTCCCAGGCAGACGCAAATTCGAGCGTTGGCTCCTGGACCTCAGGAGAGCTCAGTGCTGAGCCTCGGGGTGCCCCTGCACGAGCCCTTAAAGAGGTGAATTTCAAAATAATGCATGAGGCAGACCCCAGTGCTTCAGCAGCTCTGGGATTTGGGGTTTGAGGTTTTTTCTTCCATTTGCTGGGCAGCTTTTGCTGTCAAAAGGGAACATGAGGTGTTGGCATTGGAATGAGCACGAGCAGCACTCGGGAGCCAGCAGGAAGGACCAATGCTCTTGCTTTCATTCAGGGTGTCCTTGGGCAACTCCAGGTTAGTGCTGTGTCCCCAGGGAGGTTCTTTGTGCCCCTCAGGGTCTGGGTGTCCCCCTGAGGCTGATGCCCCATGAGGTGCTGCTGGTCTGGCTGACCCCCATCCCCTTCCAACCCCTTCCAGCTCTTCTGAACTCCACTGCACCCTCCAGCTTTGGAGGTTGCCTTTTCCTGATGGACAGGTGTCTCAGGGAATTCGCATGCAAACCTCA